CATATTCTACATTGGTAATGATATATGTGACGATGAAGATGTGGACTGTGTCATAGATGCAATTGTGGACCGAAAATTTCAAAACTTTATTGAGATATATGTTGAAATAGACTGTGGTCAATCTTCATCTGCACCTGTGCATGGAAGAAGTCAAAGTCAAGAAGACAGAGTGGTCGATTTATCTGCACCTGCACATGTCTTATGTCAGATACCACTGAGGGAAATAGACGAGGATGAGGATGAGCATGACGAGGATATGGACAGTGAAGACGATGGTGAACCCAAGAGTGTTATTCCGCTAGATGACACCTCAGATTAGAGGGGAATAATCTACACACATTATGCATGATACTATTTTTTCATAACATATTTTTATTAAAATTCTGATTGTTACAATAATTTGTATTTTATTTATTATGAAAGGAAAATTAATTAATAATTTAGCCGTCAAAATTTTAGTGTATGATTACTATTTTTTTTAAATATAGAAAAGTATATAACGAGAATAGCTTCTTCAAATTTTAAATTAAAATAAGCTATCAATTTTAATAAAAATTTATAATAAAATTATATATTATTTATCTTAAATATTTTAATAAATTAAACCATTAAAATTGGTCTCTGATAAGAGACTTAAATAATTTGCATGAAGTTCTAATTCAAATTTTGGTGTCATTATTATATAAAAAATATTCCAATAATTTAATTTAAAAAGAAAATCATTCCTTATCTCTTTTCCTAAATAAACTCCTATTACCAGAGCCAAATCCATGATTATACTATTCCCTTATCATATTTTTCTGTACACTGCGTGACTAGGCTCTTTTTGGTTTGGTTGGAGATGAAAAGCAAGCAATTTCACTTTATTTTTTATTCACCTTCTGCACATGGGATGTGTAAGGCTGAACCAGTCCCTGACTCATCACTCCAGTGCTGTTTAATCGAATAATTAAGAAAACTACTAATGGTATTAATGTATCAGCTTATGAAAAGTGAAAGAATTTTGTTATGTTTTTTCAATTATATATTTTTCTTATAGTTGTAAAATTTAAATAGAGTTCTACACAATTAAAGAATCAGATTATCAAGTTAGCAGTTTACCAGCAGGTCCATTGATCAAATAGAAAAATTCAAACAAATAAAAATTAAATATATCACTATTTTTATAAAACATAAATTAATTGTAATGTTTGAAGGATATACATAGTAACTTACAACAAAATATAATATAATGACATAAATATAAAAATGCTCTTAATTTTTTTAAGTAAATAACTAAATAAAATAATTTACGAGCCAAGATATCAAGAATAATAAAAAAGAAAGGATAACACCTTATTATTGAGAGAAAAATGTGTCTTTTGACACAAAATTATGTCATTTTAAGAGAGAGATAAATATATCATGGAGGGGAGAGTATTTTTTTTTCTCCCCCCATGATGTATCTCTATCTCTCTCTTAAAATGACCATCCTTTTAAATGACATATATTTTTCTCTATTATAAAGTGAAAAAGTTAACCTTTCTATTAAATTGCAATTCTATATGTCTATTTTTCTATTAATATTAATGAATATTAAGAATTCTTATTAATATTCTATTTTAATTCTATATTTATATATTCTTTCTAAATTAAACTTATATGTATTCTTTCTATTATAGATATATATTCTATATAATCTATTAATGCTTCATAAATAGTTGAATAGTGAAAATTAATCCAAAATATAAGAAAATATTGTGATAAGAAAATATTTTTTTAGAGAAAAAAAAATTGATTCATCGTTGATTGATCTAACAACGTATTTGGTACGCGACTTATCTCAGAAATCTCGGGAAAGCTGAGACAGAGAAATAATTAAGCCACGTTTGGTACGCGAAATTTGCAAAATTTCCCAGGCCACATGTGTTTTCGGGAAAATGCTCTCATGTGATAACTTGAGTACGGACGGAGAAATCAGAGATCCTAAATTTTTTTGGAATTGTTCGTTGCCCGAGGAAGACAAATTTAAAGCGTGAAAAATTGGACAAAAGACCCCGTGTTTTGTACGGTCTGTAGGTATTTTGGTAAAATAACCTCACATTTTCATTAATATTTCATAACCAACTAAACACAAACTCAATAAAATTAACTTAATTTCTCCGGGAAAATATGAGTCTACCAAACAGCTTTTTATTAACATTTCTGTAAAATATATTTTCCTTTACATTCGGATAATAATTATTTTCTGGATAAAAAAAAAAATTCTCCGCCCTAAGAGAATTGTGACCATTGAGTGTATGGTTGTGGTTAATTTAGGATATGCATGCTACTAGAAAGCTGCAAATGATTATAAATCACTGTGCACTAAAAGGACATGGGTGTGTGCACAATAATTGTTAAAAGAATAAGGTTTAGAAAATATATACACAACAAGCTCAACCCACTATGTATAAATGGGGGGTTGGGTGTGAGAGTTAGGGCTGGCAAAATGGGCTGAGCCCGCCGGGCTGGCCCGCCCCGCCTGCCAAATGGGGCGGGCTGGGTTGAGTTTTTCAACCCACCAGCCCGCCAGCCCATATGGGTCAGCCCGCCAAGTCCTTTTTTTTTTTTTTTTTTTTAGGTTACCCAATTGTTATGTAATTCCGTATCTTAGATTTCTCTGCATGCAAGTGGCTTTTTTGAATTGTTGTGGACTGCTCATACAACACTTTGTTACTTGTTTTGTTACTCTATTTTATCCTGATATGATTTTATTTTTTTATTATTATTTTTGGAATGAAAGATGCATATTTATATGCAGATTATTAAACACTGATCTTCTTGGTTTCATAAGCACATTAGGATTTTATGCAGATTTTTGTATGTTTTTATGCAGATTTTTTTATGTGATTTTATGCAGAATTTAAGTTTTTGTATTTCTTTTTTATATATTTTTTATTTTAGGCGGGCTGGCCCGTAGCCCGCCAGCCCACTCATAAAACGGGCCGGGTTACTCCTTTCAACCCATTTTGTCAAAACGGGCCGGGGCGGGCCATCCCATTTTGGGCGGGCTAGTGGCGGGCCGGGGCGGGCTGGCCCATATTGCCAGCCCTAGTGAGAGTTTGAGTGAGAGTTTAATTGTTTAAGGATAAAATATATCTTATCCCTTACTCCCGTAGTATTTAAGTTGTTTGCTCATCTTTTTACCCAAAAAAAAATGTTGTTTGCTTATCCTACTCTTTTACTTGGTTGTTACTAATACACACTCTGAGGCCCCCAATAGATGGATTGAGAACCATTGCAGAGGACCAAGTTGTTTGGGATTGGAAGGGTTAATATGAAAAAAAATCACACCAACCTCATGATGTAACGAGAATCTAAGTTTGAGGAGTGAATTCTTATATTTATTAAAAATATATTAAGTGATGATTATATAAGTAAAAAAATTCATAAATTTAATACTTTAAGATTCTGAGTTAAGATGCGTCGTTCACATATGATGGAGAATAACTTAGCTCATATTATGGTATGAGGTCCCCCAACCCAATATTCCGGTATAATTTTTTAACAGAATGATTTAGCCAACTTGAGTTATCTAACTATGTATTTACTTTTAAAATTTTGTATTTTTACTGTGACAATTAATTGCAGGATTATCCACACAAAAAATTACAGGACAAAGTTCTTTCTAATTTTTTCTATCACTTACATGTTAGTTTTTTATTTTTCCTAAATGAGATATTAAATCTTAATTCAGTCGTGAATAGTAAGTAGATAACACACCTGCACATTTGTACAAGGCTCAAACTTACAAATTACAATAGTTGACAATGAAAATAAAAATAAAAAAATTATATGCTACAAGCTTGCAATTCTAAGATATTTTTTTTTATATTTTTTCATATTTAAATCAAGTTTTAGCCCAATTTAAAAGGAAAAAACTACGAGTGAATGATAAAAAAAAAGAAAGAAATAATTTTAAAATAAACCATATTTAAACTTTACACTTATGTTATAAAAATTTAGAATTAATATTTCGCATGTTATAAGAAATAATTTTATCTTTTACCTACATAAAAGGATGTGAGACCTATGTGGGGTCTATAAAAGAAGAAGAAGAAAAAATATGAAACTCATTTATTTTTATGTATGTGTAGAAGATAAAATTTATCTTCTACAAATATCACACACTTTAATATATATATATATATATATATATATATATATATAGGGCCAGGATATTCTTACACCGGTGTAAGAGTTAGAAGTCTTACTCTCAATCTTGATCATTGATCAACTTATATCCAATAGCTCAGTTGACTAAAAAATTAGAACCCTTAGATATAAGTGAGATAAACGGACAAAATTAAAAGTGTAACTTACACTGGTGTAAAATGATCCTGACCCATATATATATATATAGGGTTTTATATTTCTCATTCAACATGAGAATTCAATTCTCATGTTGTAGAGACAAAAAGTACATGGGACCCGTATGTTAGAAAAAATTATATGTAAGACCCACGTTGGCACAAAAATCGAAGTGTGTGTAGAAAAATTCAAATTCTCATGTTAAATGAGAATTATAAAACGCATGTATATATACACGCAGAAGATAACAAAACATTAAACCCATAATTCTAATGCAAAAGCTATTTTACGAAATAAGGTGACAGATTAATTAATGGTGGAATGGACAATTTTGCCACAAACATCCTACGAAGATTGTTCCTACGTGGCATGGTCCCATTTGATGTTGCGAATCCCAGTTGATTCTCACCGTTTGGTCATTTGTCCCACATCTACACATTTTTATGCAATATCTCCGGTCATAATATCCTGCAACCAATTTCACGTTAATGACCAGTCACAAATCACAACCACCGTACGATATTGTCATAGTCTATGGTCAAATAGGGAGCAACGATTATCCGACTGAGCGAAAATTGACAGGGTGCAGTGCAGATACAGAGTAGAGTAATGTATGTAAGGCTGAGAGCTAGACCCTTCTCCAGCGTTATCAGAGAACAGTAGTAGAGTAGCAGCATTGGCACATAATACAAGTACAATTTATTATTATTATTATTATTATTTTTTTAAAATAATTTAATTTAATTATTTTTCAAAAAAATATCACATAACCTCGTTTGTTTGTTTGTTTTTGGTTGCACAGATTCAAAGAGAGAATGATTGCTGGAAGGGACATTGGTGAAAGATAGCATTGGAGAAGAAGAATTATTGGAGAGCAGCAGAAGGCATGGAAATTTCTTTGGTAGTGAAGTGCAAAACGACGTTCGGCGATAGAAGAAGGTGCTTTGGTGCTGGCTTGTTCTTCCCTCCAACTCCAACTGGCCGGTGTCACCAACTAGTTACTGTCCTTATTCCCTTCTTTTTTCTTTTGTGTTTTGATTTAATTTCAGTTTTATATAAGTAATATACTATAATCATCTTTTGAGAATCTGGATATATTCTTATGGTACTCCGTTGAGTTGAGTCATGCAACTACCTCTCTTTCTTAGATTGTTTTGAGTTATGATTTTAGATATCTTGCTAAATATATAACCTTTTTTTTTTAGTCTTCACCATGGGGACGTGAATTCAAGGCAGGTTGGGGTTCTTTTAGCATCAAAGCTGGTGCAGGTTTATTAGCTACCCTTGTTCTGATTTGTTTTATACTTGTTGTGCTAAATGATTTGTCCTCCCCCCTATGTTAAAGTTTATAAAATTTTCATTTCTATAATTGGGGTTTATCTTTTGGTAGATTTTTCGCGTAGGAGACAGAGGAAGTTCTCAACTGCAAAGCCTAAGGGCCCTGGTTCAAAAGGTTTCGTCCCAAAACCACCTATTGAGACAAGCAACCAGAAGAGGGATAATAAAGGCACTGGAGTCAAGGGAGATTCGCTTACCCCAACAGCTAGTGAGATATCAGGGGGTAATAAAAAAACACTTGATGTCAAGATTGAGGCTGACGAAGAAGAGGCAGTTGAGTTTTCCCAGGAGAAAAAAATGGAGGTAGTAGATGCTAATGATGTAATTCTTGAGGAGGATGGTCAATTATCATTGTTACATGAGACAGTGGGTGTTGCTCAAAGAAATCAAGGTGAGGAAAATGGAAAATTTTCTATAACTGATGAGGAGGATGTTCTAGACACTTCCGGCACCAGGGATAATGGAAATGTTAAAGATTCAAAGGAAAACCCATTAGAGAATGTAGAAATTGATGTTCTAAACACTTCCGGCACCGGGGATAATGGAAATGTTAAAGATTCAAAGGAAAACCCATTAGAGTATGTAGAAATTGATGTTCTAGACACTTCCAGCACCAAGGACAATGGAAATGTTAAAGATTCAAAGGAAAACCCATTAGAGTATGTAGAAATTGATGAAACTGTTAGAGAAGCAAAAACTGACACTGATGATGAAGTAACTGGGGAAACCATTGTTAGGGAAACAAATACTGAGACTGATGACAAAATAAATGAGGAAGCTTCTCGACTGATGAAGTTAGAGTTGGAAGCAAATTTACGCATGCAAGAAATAGACAGGATTGCAGAGGAAAACTTTTCACAAGGGAAAAAGCTGTTTGTATATCCGCCTGTGGTTAAACCCGATCAAGATATAGAAGTGTTTCTTGATAGGAGTCTTTCAACTCTAAGTAATGAGCCGGATGTTCTGATTATGGGGGCATTTAATGATTGGAGGTGGAAATCTTTTACCATTAGGTTAAATAAAACACATCTCAAAGGTGATTGGTGGTCTTGCCATGTACACGTTCCAAGAGAAGCCTATAAAATGGACTTTGTGTTCTTCAATGGGAAAAATGTCTATGACAATAATGACAAAAGGGACTTCGCCATACCTGTTGATGGTGGAATGGATGCATTTGCCTTTGAAGATTTCTTGCTTGAGGAAAAACGTAAAGAATTAGAAAAAATTGCCAAGGAGCAAGCTGAAAGGGAAAGACAGGAAGAAAACCAAAGGCGAATGGAAGCAGAGAAAGCTGCAAAAGAAGAGGACAGATCACTGGCTAGGATGGAGACTAAAAGAAGGAGAGAAATGTTGCAGCAATTAATGGAAAAAGCGGTAAAGTCCATTGACAATGTTTGGTATATAGAGCCTAGTGAATTTAAAGGCAAAGACTTGGTCAGATTATATTATAACAGAAGCTCAGGTCCTCTTCCACATGCTAAGGAAGTATGGATTCATGGGGGGCACAATAATTGGAAGGACGGATTATCAATTGTTGAAAAGCTTGTCAAATCTGATTCAAAAGATGGTGATTGGTGGCATGCTGACGGTATGCTCATTTTCATCTTCTGTTACTTATCTCTAATGTTGATTCTTTTAATTGAAATTAATCTTTTGTGGGAAATAGAAAGTGTATGAATAGAGAAAACATGTACTCTGATGTGACATGCAAGGATGTGGAGTTTGCCATCTGTTTATCTAATAACGGACATATGCTTGCTCTTTAAAGGTTGAAACATTGTGAATGTATTTTGATGCTATGTATTATTTTTTTTCTGCTCATACATGATTGTGAAGGCATAGGTGAATGGCATGCCTTTGTAGATTAGATGCTGGCCTTTGTAGATTAGATGCTGATACATGCTTCTGAAGCACCTATTTTGTCCATACAAAGAACCCGTATAAAAGTGAATGGTAGTAATATCTCTGTCGTGCCCATCATTTAATTTAAACATAAAAAAGTTGCAGAATTAAGGGGTTGGGATATTTATGTTTATGCTCATCATTTTATTCTAAATTTTTAACTTTCAAAGTTACACAAGCATTTCTAACTCATGGCTTTGGGTTTCTACTCTGTCTCTATTATTTGGCTGACAAATCAAATGGGGAGAGAGTTAAATTTCTTTTCTGAGACATTAAATGTTTTTTTCTGAATTAGGTTTGTAATCACCTTATCAACATATTAAGCAGGTCTAAATCAATGACAGTTATCCCCCCCCCCCCCCCCCCCCCCCCCCCCCCCCAAACACCTAAAAATATAAAATAAAATAAGAAAGATATCTGACTGTTTTATTGGTCTCATATTGTAAATATTACTATTTGAATAGTGAGATGAAAACTACTTTTCTCTCCTTAGGACTAGCTTGAAATAAACAAGATTTTTTTTTTTTTCATTTGATGCAGTTGTTGTACCTGATCAAGCCTTTGTCCTTGATTGGGTCTTTGCTGATGGTCCACCTCACAATGCAATTGTGTATGATAACAACCATTGTCAAGACTTCCATGCTATTGTCACAAAGGCCGTACCTGATGAAGAGTTTTGGGTTGGGGAAGAGCAGATTATATACAGAAAACTCCAGGAGGAGAGGAGGTTAAGAGAGGAAGCTATACGTGCCAAGGTTAGTTTTTACAGGAGATGACTTCCAGATGTTAACATTGAGACTCTACCTAACATACGTCACAACCAGAAATAAAATCTTTTTAGTTGTATATTTCCATTGTTCCTTTCAATATAAATATGTGCAGAAAGTTAAGGGCACTGTATACTTACAATGTACTCTCTCACTAAGGAGGATGAAGTTTACCTTTTTGACTTTGTTCTGGTAGATTATTTAAATTTTTTATGTTGAGATCGCAGTCCTAGATTGATCCCTAAAAATTTGTTTATCCAAATATTAGTTGGCAGGCATAAGAATTCTTAATTCTTTCTTGTGGGAAGAAAAAATATTGACAGCTATTCAAGTCACTTATCTTTTTGATTTGGACCTGTTCTTGTTGCAGGCTGAAAAAACAGCACGTATGAAAGCTGAAACAAAGGAAAGAACTTTGAAAGGATTTTTGCTTTCTCAAAAGCATATTGTCTTCACTGAGCCTCTTGATGTTCGAGCAGGGAGCACAGTGACAGTATCTTATAACCCCTGCAACACAAATCTGAATGAAAAACCAGAGGTTTGGTTTAGATGTTCATTTAATCGTTGGACTCATCGTAATGGTCCATTGCCACCTCAGAGAATGTTGCCTGCAGAGAATGGTACTCATGTCAAAGCCTCTGGTGAGTATCTATCATAGTTTACATTTGAAACATAATTGGAACCCGAACCTAGTATCCAGCAATTAGCAATATCAAGGATTTTAATGTCTCTTTGGTTGTTTGATTTTGACTTTTTATTAATTATGTTCTTGGTAGAATTAGTTGGAAGGGTATGAATTCTGAAATATGTGTAAGTATCTCCCAAATATATTATGTGTTTTTATCTCATCAGCATCTATGATGTGCTTCTATTTTGGTTAGCAGACTACTAGTCTTTGTACTGAATGAAATGTGCTACCCATTCATTTTTGTGTTTTGTAAGCTGTAGAGTGGCCTTCAATCCAAATGCTGAGTTTTTGTTGTCAAAAAATGCTATGAAGAAAGCTGCAGGGCGTTTATGAGATGTATCACTTACTGTTTGTTTTCAGATTCAATATTCATCGATCTTGTATCAGATTAAGGATAATGTTCAAAGGTGGACAATTTTATAATAATTTTGTAAATTTGGAGAGTAAGAATAAAAGTTTGTTACCAAGAATTTGATACAAAGAGAGAAACAGGTAGACTGAAACTTACTTGGAGAAGATAATAAAACAAGACTTAGTGGAGTGGGATATAAATTGGCGGAAGGTGGGTCTTAGGATGGATTGGAGAAAAGCTATTTTCTTTCTATGTTCCAAATGGTCCCTTTTTAGTCCTTTTCTCCTTTATCTCCCTTTATTTCTTTCTTTACCTCTTTTTTATTTTTCTTCTTCTCTTTTATTTCTCTTTTTTCTCTCAATCTTTCTTCTCTTATTTCTTTATTTTGATCTCTCTATTTCATTATTTATTTAATTAATTAATTAATTTTATTTTTAACTTTCTTATTCTTTTCTTTTTTACTCTTTTAATTGTTTATTTCTTTTTTTAATGGATAGTGTTATATATATAAATTTTATTTTTATCATTTTTTCTTTAATCTTTTTTGTACTTTTCATTTGGGTTCATCTACCACCGATGACCGATCCCAATTAGTTTGGGATAAAGGTGTTATTGATGTTGATATTTTGTAAATTTGGAGGCTGCAATTGATGCAAATAATGTACTTTGGCAATCAATTTGTTCTGTACAGACAAAAAAACATAAAATCAATTCATTTACTTATAGCCTTATGCATTGTTCCTGAATAAGTTCTATGATTTTGTGCTTCTGCAGTTAAGGTTCCACTGGATGCATACATGATGGACTTTGTATTCTCTGAGAGGGAAGATGGTGGAATTTTTGACAATAACCATGGAATGGATTATCACATACCTGTTTTTGGAAGTATTGTAAAGGAACCACCTATGCATATCGTCCACATTGCTGTTGAGATGGCCCCAATTGCAAAGGTAAGTTAGCCTGTTGCATATATCTTATCTGAACTTCATCTACATATCTCTGTGTAGACTTTTACCTTTTATTATCTGATGCTGGAAAATTTTGGGAATTTACAATGAATAAATCTTACCATTATCCTATGGATCTGTAATGGAAAATACAGTTGTTACCGACAGCTATGGTATTTGGAGATCGCTTCATAAAAGAATTCAGCATGTAAATTGCAGTTTTTTTTACTCTCTGAATACCTGTCAATGAAAAGTGGAATTGAAATTTTTATGATTGAAAAATTAGCATTTTTATTGAGTTAATATCTAGAGAGTTTCAGATGTTAATGGTTTATTGATGGCGGAAAAGAAAAAATGAAAGACAATCATTTAGACTTTTTATAATATCTGAAGTCTGGAATGCTTTTTAAGCGTATTAGAATTAGCATGCCCAAAAATGTTGTGATTGATATTAACATGTTTTTTTTTTCAATTCTGATGGTCTATATCTTTGGCAGGTTGGTGGCCTTGGTGATGTTGTTACAAGTCTATCCCGGGCTGTTCAGGATTTAAATCACAATGTGGACATTGTTCTTCCAAAGTATGACTGTTTGAACCTTAGCAATGTAAGCTTTATGATATTGGTTTGGCACTTATGTTACGTCATAAACTCTGCTTTGGATATGTAAAGTTTATTCCTAAAATCATGAATTTTCTGGTCTGTCCTATTAAAAGACCATGACATCATGATTATTTATAAGTGTGTTGTAGCTTGAGTTTCAATATGAAACTGGTTGATAATCAACGGGGAGAACTAATATTATGAAATTGGTCCAGGCATTAATGAAAATGTATGGTTATTGTTGAGCGTGTCTTAACATTTGGCTGTTGAGAATCTGCATCACTGGCTCTTTTTTTGCGTTGTAGTTAGCGTTGTCTCTGTAATAGCTGTTAAATTTATGTGTTTTGATGCAGGTAAAAGATTTTCAATATCACAAAAACTATTTCTGGAGTGGAACTGAAATAAAAGTATGGCATGGAAAGGTGGAAGGCCTCTCTGTCTTCTTTTTGGAGCCTCAAAATGGGTAAGCATTTTGGTTCTTCATCCTTAAAAGTTCTTTTGCCTTTCGTGGTTTGCTGCTTGTTGTCATGGTTAGTGCGAGAGATATAATATAATATATAAAATCATTCATCCTTCACTTGATCTCAGGTTGAATTGGTTGCTTGACATGGTATTAGAGCCTTTATACTAAGTGGTCCAGAGTTTGAGGTGGACGTACGTATTGTCCACCCTTCAAGTTCATTGAGCTTTTTTGCAGGAGGCTTGTTAGAAATATAATATAATATATAAAACCATTTGTTATGACCCATATTATACCCAAGACAACTTAGGCAGTTAGCTATGTAGTTAGTAGTTGTTGGCTATTCTTTCTATTGGGGGCTTTAGTTACATTTGTTAGGAAGTTAGGCAGATAGAAGAGCTTTTAATAATGGGGGCTAATATTGCAGTTTTACTTTGGTATATGTTGAGATATATACTTATAAGTATATATCTCAACATGCCCCCTCACACGAGAGCCCACTAGGCTTGAAGGGTGGACAATGCACAAGAAGAAATTCCACTAGAAAGAAAGTGGGGGGCGGCGAGGATCGAATCCGGTACACCGAGGCTCTGATACAATGTAAAGAACCTTGGGATACACCACCCTAAAAGCTAGCTCAAAGGGTGGGAGTGCCCAAGGCCTTATAAGTATATATCTCAACAGTATATAAGGGAAATAACCCTATGTTAGGAGGGGCTTTTTGATAGATTTGAATTTGGCTGAGAATATATCAGAGGAAGGGGAGTGCCCCTTGTGAAGAGGTTTTTACCCTCTTGTTTGTTCTTCAGTACCATATCAATAAAATCGATATCTGACCTTCAATTCACATAATAACTTCTCTTATTCTTCTTCTACTCTTGTATTTCTTGCTTTTGGAAAACCAGAGCTATAACACCATTCATCTGCCTTCACCTAACAGCTTAAAATTTTTGGAGACTTGGTTGTGTGACAGTTATACAAATACTAATGATTCAACTTGTAAGGGGCTTGTAACTTGGATGATTTGGATTCGAACAAGCAAACAAATGAATTTACTTTTTTTTTTCAAACGAGTTCTCTGAGTGAAATTACTGTATAACTCATAACAATCGAATGGAGATAAACTTTATATTTATTTTGGAAACACACTAGCTTCTGATCAACGTTTATGTTATGTTGAGGCTTAAGATAACGTGCAAAGATATGTTGTAGTTACTGGATATCATAATTGAACTTAATATTTCTGTAATAAAGTAGCTTGACAATTACCTCAAGGGCCTGGATTCCTTTGGGTATCAATTGCTGCACGTAGAGTGTTCCTCCGGCATGGTCATTTACTGTGATGGGGGGAAACGGTAGGATGGCGTTTGTCAAACCACGTTTGTGAGAAATTTTTAACACATTTGAAGAGCACTTAGCCACTTAGTACTGAACATGAGGCCTATATTTTTTCAAGCATGTAAAATTTGGCTATATAGGTATCAACATTATGGATATATACTCTTCTTCATATATTTACCCAGATTGTATTAGAAGGTTGAATGCAAGTTTATCTCTCCGAAACTGTCTGATGAACTCACGCCATAGCTAATGAGATAATCTGATAAGAACCTTGGGATGCACCACCCCAAAAGCTAACTCAAAGGGTGGGAGTGCGCAAGGCCTTATAAAGGCCACATTAGTTGCCCATACAACCAATGTGAGATTTCAAGTCCCATACCTTGCAAATGGGATCGTAACATTCCACCACGCTCCGCAATCCCGGCGCTCACGTGGGCTGGCTTTGCGCTAGTCTTTTACTAGCTCCGGGCGAACACTGCAATGCCGACGTCACCACCCACGCCTCTCGATTGCAACCGGGAGACATAGGGGAAGGCTCTGATACCATTTGATAAGAACCTTGGGATGCACCACCCCAAAAGCTAGCTCAAAGGGTGGGAGTGCCCAAGGCCTTATAAAGGCCACATTAGTTGTCCATACAACAATGTGGGACTTCAAGTCTCATTCCTTGCAAATGGGATCGTAACATAATCTCTATCATCACTTCACAAAATGCGTGGAGCACAGAAGATATTTTCTGTATGTAGAAACACACATTGATGATTATATTTGAAGCTAAGCTGGAAAAAGCAGAAAAGAATCAATAATGTCAATTATGTAACAAACTCGACAATTTAAATATTGTTTTGGCCTTAATCTTAAACTGTATCTGCGTTGTGATTGTCTGCAGCCTATATATCCCTAAACCCTATACACATTGTGAGGGGTTTAAATATCTTCATCCCTAAACCGCCTCGCATTCCGGATTAGTCCCATAGCCGGCTCAAAGAGTCGAAGCCTGCGGGGATACCGGGGGAGCTAACTCGTCTCAAAGAGGTAATTAGGATTAGGTTAACTCCAAAAAAAATGAAAGTATCTTTTATTTTTTATATATATATATATTTTTTTATAAATTACATGCTTCGTGATCATTGTCAATAAGATGACTTGAAAAACTTCCACTTCTTCATAAATCAAACTATGCTTAACAAGATTTATATTTTTTTTCCTGCAGATTCTTTCAGGCTGGCTGTATATATGGTTGTCGGAATGATGCAGAGAGATTTGGTTTTTTTTGTCATGCTGCTCTTGAATTTCTACTTCAAAATGGATTGCATCCTGTAAGATATATCATTTGTCTAGTGATTGAGCTGTTATTCTTATAACTTTCATGACACATTTCCTTTGCTGATGCGAGAGTGGGATATTTTTTTTTAGCCATGACGTAAGAGTGGAATTAAAGTGTCCGTTTTGTTGATGCTGACTGCTGAGTCAACGTTCTCTCTCATCCCACTAGACCAAAAAACATGATATGCATGCAATTTTTTATCTGTTTGGTTAGAGAGAGATTATTTAGAAAAGTGGCAAGCAGTTTTGACCCTGATTCCTGCCACGTTAACTAAATTGATGTTATTCATTCCTATGCTGTTGAATGTCCTGCAGTGTGTATTTGAATTTATATGTGCAAATGTAACCAAAGTTCCTATATGTAAAATAATGAGCTAAAATATATTACATGAGAGACAGCTGCTTTACTGAATATCATTGCTGGGCTATTTGTTTTTTAGTATTAAAGTGACGAAATATTTCTGTAAGTGTACATTGTGGCTTGAGGTCTAAGTTTCTAACAATGCATTTACCACCTTTTTTTTTGGCAAAAATATATATTTGAATTTAATTAGTTGTCTTGTATGATACGTTGTAATTGGCCCTTAACAATGGGCAGGATATCATCCACTGTCATGATTGGTCGAGTGCACCAGTTGCATGGCTATTTAAAGAACAGTATACACATTATGGTCTAAGCAAAGCACGGGTTGTGTTTACAATTCATAACCTTGAATTTGGAGTCCAACTCATTGGAAAAGCTATGGCAAACGCAGACAAGGCTACAACTGTAAGTGCTGGTTATACCCTAAATAAGTCAATTTTGCTAACTTTCATGTAGCATTCGGTTATTTTTATCATGATCATTTTCATTATTGATAGTAGTTGGTATTATCTAGTTGTAATATTTGCTTTGTTCTTCCAAAATTTCTTCTCTCTTTTCCTAGGAATGTAAGAAGAATCTTGCTAGAATATAGTGGTTGCCACAAGTGGGCTTAAGTTTTCCCCCTAGGATCATGGAGAGGATCCTGTGCTGATTTTTTCCCTGTATTTTTTATATATTACGAGGTATATTTAATGGAGAGAAAAAGCTGAGATAGTAATGGACTCAAAAAAATTGTGTGACTTTAAATTGTAGCATCTCTCTAGAATTTGATTGGACCTTACACTCATTATCTGCATGCTTAAAATATATTCTGAAACAAATCTTTTCCTCCACGTAATATAATTTTATTAACAACTTTGACAGATACAATTTTGAAGCTTAAACAGAATCTGATCAGTGATTTTGCATGTTCCATTTTTCTGATATTCTTATTATCAATATAGGATCTCAGTCATACATGTTTATGTTGGCAGGTTTCCCCCACTTATTCTAGGGAGGTTGCTGGGAATCCTGCAGTTGCTCCTTATCTTCACAAGTTCTATGGTATAATAAATGGAATTGACCCAGATATATGGGACCCATATAATGATAAGTTCATTCCTGTAAGTAGGCATATACACATATTTTTCTCGTCTTTTCTTACATAGCTTGTTGCTATCAAACTTAAATTCCAACACCATCATTGCTTGAGTACTTGATAACCTGATACCATATGTCTCCATAATTGTATAATTTATCGTGTTCCCATATCTTATATTTTTCAAAGATTGTTGAAATACTCGAAGCTGTATCTCCATAAATAGGTGCCAAATTACCATTTTTATCTCCATGTTTTTTAATTCCATAAGCTAAGACTGACTTGTCCCATCCTATATCAGTTCTTATCCAGGTCCCTAAAACAATGCTATTGATTAGAGTGAAGATACTTGTCTTACCTTTTTTCTGTAACTTTTTGAATAGTTGGGATAGATCATATGCTTATTTCTCAACTACTGCAGTTCCAACGGTTCACAACTTCACACATGGCTCCATTTAACATTGTAAAGTTAATAAACTCGGATTACTTTAAGGAAGATGGGCTGATGGATTATTGTATGCAAGTTGAGTTCCGTAGTGACTGCAATGAGTCGATAGCATTTCTCTACCCCTTGTACCCAACCTGTTTTTATTCTATACTCAGTTGTTTTCATGATTTCATAAGGAGCTTTCTAGTTCCACTAATCCAATTATGACTGGTTCCAGTATAACATTATTGCAGGTATCATACACATCAGAGAATGTGGTAGAAGGGAAAAGAGCTGCCAAGGAAGCCTTGCAACAAAAACTTGGTTTGAAAAAAGCTGATCTTCCTTTAGTGGGAATTATATCTCGATTGACTCATCAGAAAGGAATCCATCTCATCAAGCATGCCATATGGCGCACCCTAGAGCGTGGTGGACAGGTCTCCTTTTATTTCAATTTTTCATCAAATTGTGCACCAGTGTTACCATATATGTGCATTGCCTACATAATAGCTTCTTGCTTCAGAATAAGCGATGGGAATTAGATAAGTAGGTTGAAGAAACATCTTGCTTCAGAATTTGAAATTAAGTACTTGGGGCCCTAATGTTATTTCCTAGGTATGGAAATCGCAAGGTCAAAGATGGGAATTTATGTATCACAAAGAAAGTATGTTCTTGACTTGCTAGAGGAGACAGGAATGAGTGGCTGTAAACCCGGTGATACACCCATGGATACCAATCAGAAGTTGGGAGAGGTGTCCTGTAGAGTTCCAATTGATAAAGGCAAACATCAGTGCTTTCTAGAGAAACTCATTTACTTGTACCATGGCCAGATTTCGCCTTTGCATTTAGTGTGGTGAGTCAGTAGATGCACTTACCATATAAGGAACATTTGGAGGCCGTGTATAAGATCCTCAGGTGTTTTAAGAGCTCACCAAGTAAAGGATTGTCGTTTAAAAAGGATGATCAAAGAGGTGAAGTCTTCAGTGATGCAAACTGGGCAGGCTTCGTTTACAATAGAAGATCAACATCTGGTTATTTTACTTTTTAATGAGGGAATCTTGTTACTTGGTGAAACAAAAAGCAAAACATTGTTGCTAGGAGTTCCCGAAACTAAAGTATAGAGCCATGGGAAATTGAGTTTTTGAAGTTTTATGGATAAAGAGTTCTTGAAGAATTTAGATGTTGAAGCACCTTGAGGCTGTTCTGTGATATATATATATATATATATATATATATAAATCAGCTATAAGGAAATAATCCTGACCAGCATGATCGTACCAAACACATTGAGATTGATAGACACTTTGTATGCTGTTTGTCACTTCTGAACAACAGTAAGCTGATGTACTTACTAAGGGCCAGTTTAGGCCAAAGTTTTAATCTCTCATTGATAAGTTGGGATGATCAATATCTATGCACCAATTTTACGGGTGTAGAAAATAGAAAGATTTATTTAGATAGTTGACTTTCCTAATTTCTAAGGATAGCTGTCGTATAGTTTCTACGATTAAGGAGATATGTTTGGTGTGTACAACCTATATAATCTAACACTAACAATTGATAACCAATCAGAAATAAAGGATTCTCTTCTCTATTGCTCTTGTCTGTGCTCATAAACTGAGGATTAATTTCAAAACAGTCCAGGATAATTTTGTTATTAGGCTTTCTACTTCAATTAGGAACTGGTTTACTGTGTTAATTGAAATAAAGTAATCAATGTCTTGACCATGGAAATATTTGAATGCAGGCTGTATTACTTGGTTCAGCTCCGGATCCTCGTATCCAAAATGATTTTGTGAGTTTGGCCAATGAATTGCATTCTCTTCATAATGACCGTGCTAGATTCTGTCTTTCCTATGATGAGCCTCTATCACACTTGGTAATTTATTGCGGAACTGAAAATCTTTGGTAACATTTTACCTCTTATGTACAGCTTAACTGGGCATTATTGACTCATTTAGAATTTTTTGTTCTAGATATATGCTGGTGCTGATTTCATTCTAGTTCCTTCAATCTTTGAGCCGTGTGGTCTTACTCAACTTACAGCAATGAGATATGGTTCGATACCCGTTGTTCGTAAAACTGGAGGTTTGTACATGCTTTAGTTTAGTCACCCGAACAATAGATGGTCTTGTTGGCATGCCATCACCCTATGTATATATCTGGAACGTTTTGTCTTTTTAGTTTTTAATTTTCTTTAATTGGAGTATGGGTCCCATAATTCTTTGTATATTATAGGTTCTTTTTTCCCCTTGGTATTGCGTCTGATTGTCTAATTTTTACTTTCCTTAGAGCGATCATATCCAGATAAACAACTTGAAAGGAATTAGTGGTCAACTTCTATCTTCTTTCAACTCAGCTTTGGTACATTAACAATACATCTCCATATAATTTTGCAGGACTTTACGATACTGTATTTGACGTTGATCATGATAGGGATAGAGCGCAGGCACAGGGTCTTGAGCCAAATGGATTTAGTTTTGATGGAGCTGATGCTGGAGGTGTTGATTACGCTCTCAATAGGTGAGTTATATTCTGTGCAATGACCAGGCATTTTGTGTTTGAACATGAGAAAACCAGATATGCCAATAGTAAAACTCCAAAATTACTTGACAGTTGGCAAAAATACTCAGAAGTAAACCCTTCTTCATCAGGATCTATGTTGGGTTTTTAATTCTCCTATGAGTTAAGCTTGTAGGAAAAAAGTCCTTTCACGGTGATATGTATGTCAAGCCCCGAATAGAGACCTTATTCCGTTGCAAGAATATGATTCATATATACTAAGAAGTGTTTATTTTACCTAATAACCTTGCACACATCCATAGCAATCTGTTTCCAAAGTCCTAAAGTTTGTGATTGCAATATTAATTTTAAAAAATGAACTTTTTCAGGGCAATATCAGCATGGTATGATGGCCGTGATTGGTTTAACTCTTTATGCAAGATGGTAATGGAGCAAGACTGGTCTTGGAACCGGCCTGCTCTTGACTATCTGGAGCTTTACCATGCAGCACGCAAGTCAGCATGAGATTTCAGTAGAGACAGGAAGTGAGGCGCCAATTAAGTTTCATGCCCTTTGTACAGGTTTAGTGGTAAGCATTAGCTTAAACATAATTTGATTGCATATGGTGAATCCTAATGAAAGATCACTGCGTGCTGAAAAGCTTTTAGAGGCGAGCTTAAAATGGTTCATTTTTTTTAGCATGCAATAATATAGGGATTGCTTTACACTAGTTTAGTATACGCTAAGAGATCTATGTCTTTAAATTGCTGAACCTGTGAATTGCGATATAATAGCATTGCAGAATAGATGTGCTAGCTCATGTTGTGCTAGAGAGGATCTAAAAGAGTAAAAGTCATTTTTTTTATTGTATATTGGCATGGACCAACGCCTTTTTGTTGGACAATGTAGAAAGAAATATTTTATTGCAATTGCTTTATGGGATTTATACTTCTTATACAACATAAGAAGAGAATTTTTGCAGCACACACATACTCATGTGGGTTCTATTGGAAAAAAGTAAATAATTAAAATTAAAAACATTGGCACGCAAAACAGTGTGACGTGTTAGTATAGCATGAGGAGGCTTTTTTTTTTTTTTTTTGTGAAATACGGAGGCTCTTCTTATGCAACATATAAACCCCTCTCTTTTTTTACTAAAATTTTATTATTTAAATGCCTTCCATCATCTTCAAGACTTAAACCAATGTAATGAAATGATTGACAATGGCTTTATTGAATACGGTGCCCATTAGAGTTGATTTGAAAATTGTCACTATGTTAATAGACCGGTGTAATGTGGATCATAAGAAAAGGATGGAATATTACTTGTCATTCTATGATAAGGCCCTGTATATTGGTAAATTGCAGAGTTGCCTTAATGGTTACGAAGAAATAGAATAAAGTTGTAGAGATGAAAATATCGACTACTAAGGCTCAGGCCCTTCGAATTGTCGTTCAGCTGGAAGATCGAGCTATCCTCGTCAGACCCAAAGTTGTGTAGTAGTTCCAATTATTTCAAGACAAAAAAATAAAAAAACATTATGAAAGTCAGGAAATAAACATTTTAACATTTTACCAACGTTGAGATATATTGATTTATGTGGAGAGCCATGTGTAATAACTAACGAGCATTTGGTAGTTTATAGTAAATATTGTAGCACCTATGAGGCTTTGAATAGCGAATGTGAAGTTTGTTTCAGAATAACCCCTCGCCAGAGTTTGAACATTACTCTTGTGCTTAACTGTGCAGTTATTATACATTGAGCACATTGGATTTGGTGGAACCATACCAACCAACAGTGAATTGTTTGTTGAACATCAGTTTGGCAACTTCGTGATGCAACTGTCAGTCTTAAATTTGCAAACTAAGATTATGAGTACTTGAAATCATGCAAATTTAATGTATTCAAAGTAGGTAGTTGTATCCAAAAAAAAAAAAAAAAAAGTCCATAGTTGAAATGTTTGATATTTAAGATCTCTCGTGTATGAGGCAAGTCACGCCCTTGAGGTTCATCAACATGTATCACAATAAGTAAATAAGAAATAGAAGTATAATGTTATAAGAAAATGTTTAGGTTATATTATAGAGATAGAGATTGTGGGATTCACACTTTTTTATTTTTTTGGTTTTTGAAAACAAGTGTAGGTCTCACAATTTCTATCTCTATAACATAACCTAAACACTTTCCTACAACATTATACTTCTTTCTTCCTAAGTTTAAATATATGTTCGGCAAAATGTAATTAAATTATGAATATTTTTCCAAATAAATTGTCTCTTACATTTAGCTAGGAAAAAAAGAAAAGAAAAAGAAAAAGAAAAAGAAAAAGAAAAACAGGTAACATAAAACAGTGAGGTAAGCATCATATAATAGTATAATACGCATGATTCAATGTTGTTCAGGAAGTTATAAAGGTATTTAAAATGAGGAGGGTTATACTGATATATAAATATATATATATATATATATATATTTTTATAAATTTACAAACTACATTATGTCTTACCGGTAAGGCTTCACTCAAGAGTGTCTTACCGGTAAGACATAATGTAATTTGTAAGAGTTTGTTAACAAAAAGTTTATAAATATAACATTCTCCATATAAAATATAAGATATTGTTTTCTCATGTAATAGGAGAGAAAAAATTTCTCTTGCAGAAATAAATGTGAGGTGGGACTCACTTCATTTTTTTTTTTCTCTCTTATATTCTCTCTTCTCCATTTGTGTTTGCAAGAGAAATTTTTTCTCTCCTTATACATAGAAAACAATATCCCATAAAATATTCACTCTTGGCCTCTAAATATGCTAAATTTTACCGTTTATAGATTAAAACAAACAAATATAAATACATTTACTAGATAATATTATTATTCTTATATTTTGTTCCTATTGGGAAGAAGTAAGAACAAAATTGCAAAACATTTGAGTATAATTAACAAGAAAAGAAAATTGTGAGTGTCATATTACATTACACGTCTTGCCTCATGCCGTAGACACAAAAGGTGTGAATCCCATTGAAAAAATAAAGAAAAAAAATAAAGTTGTGAGTCCCATATTTTTTATGGCAATGGCATGACACAAGATGTTTGTGTCATGTAACATGACGCTTAAGTTTTCCCAATCGACAAATACGTTATATGGATGTTTTCCAATTTAAATAAAATATAAATTAAAATTACAAAAAATATACATATTCAATAATTATTTCAGTTATAATCTTAAAAATATAGATATTAATGAAAAAATATTTAAAATTATGGAGAAGATCTGCATAATTAATTCTGAAGAATTTAAAAATATTTATAAAGCTAAGAATGACATGTGTAATTTTCTAAATAAATATTTAAACAGATTAAATTAGCATTCCATACCCAGTTTTGTTTGTTTGTTTGTAAATATATCCTGTTTTAATTAGATTGAAATGATATATTCTCAGCATTAACTATATTGGTGCGAAGAGATGATAAGACTAATGGCATTAACCCAATTAAAAAAGAAAAGAAATCAAGGAAATCCAATTTAAAAAGTATAACAAAAATATTGAGTAAAATTTGCATTCAAATCCAATAATAATCTACAGAACACATCCTGCATTTGTGTTTCAAATTCCTCTTTTGCATCAGTAACTCGAGAGAAAAACTTGGGATTGAAAAAGGGAATAAGAAAATAAAACGTGATTACCGAAATTGATGATAATATGAATTAAAGCGGCCTCTTTTTCCTCCAACGGCTAGTATTTCCAAGTCAGATGAATTAATCCAACGGCTCTAATTCGTTGACCGTTCAAATTCTTTTTTGGAAATATAGCCGTTGCCACCTACACTCCCAATCTTTAAGAATCATATCAGATCTTATCGTCACCACTTTTCCTTCTATTCATTCCATTCTCTTCTCAAAATCATTCAATTCAATTCAATCCAATTCAATTCGTGGCCATGCCTTCCAACAAGTCGTCGTCGTCTTCGTCTTCGTCTTCAGTGCCATCAAACCCTAATCCAAGAAGTTCAGAAATCAGTAACACTATGCGTAGGAGTTTCACTGGAAACCCATTCGCCAAACCCTCCGTCGTCACAAACCCTAGATCCATTTTCCCCAACACTCCTGCCAATAGTCCTTCAGGTATCGTTATTTTTTTTTTAAATACTTGTTTGGTTGCTGAAAAAGTTTGGGGTTTCCATTTCTTGGCTATTCTATTGCTGTGATTTACTTTTCATTTGAAAAAATTTGTGCTGGGTTTTCATTTTATGGGTTTGGCTTTTGGTATTCTGTAGATATTCCGAGAAGAAACTCTGTTGGGGTTAGAGAAAGCACAGGATCTTTGCGGGACATGATGATGGATGACAAAGAAAATGGGAAAGATCACCAGATTTTGAAACCCGCAAAGGTTAGATCACCAGCTGCTTCCTCAAGGTCCTCAAAGAATTTCATGGCTCCGACCATCTCTGCTTCATTCAAGGTCACTGACTCTCCCAGAAAGAAAATTCTCATTGAGAGGAATGAGCCTGCTCCGACCTCTATTCCCTCAGCAGACACCAAAAGCCACATTCGCAAGGTAACTTTTGCTGAGCCCTTGGAAGAGAAAAAGCTTGATGCTTTATTGGATGAGGTCACCTATTTTGAGGAATCTTCCTTGACTTCTGAAGATTTGAGTGTCCGTGATGCCGATGTTCCTTTTATTCCAACTAATAGTGCAGATTTGTCGTTTGAAACTGTCTATGATATGAATGTTCCTTTGATTTCAAAGAATGATACTGATTTGCCTTTTGAAACAGCCCATGATATGCATGTTCCTTTGTCGCCTGATTGTGTTAACCTTGACCCAACTTTTAAGCTTAGTCCCTCCACCACTCCTCCTGTTTCAATCACAGCTACCATCTTAACTCCTCTTGATGCAGATCCCTTGATGCCCCCTTACGATCCTAAAACTAACTACCTCTCCCCTAGACCACAGTTTCTCCATTACAAACCCAAACCCCGAATGGAACTCTGTAACGAAAGTGAATTCGAGGACAGCTTCATATCTGGGAGCTTTTCTGATTCAGAAGTTACAGAGGATACCCAGTCTGAAGGATCACATAAGGAATCAGAGGATGTTTCTTCAAATGGAACTCTTAAGGAAGAAAAGGGTCAAATATCTGGACCAATTCATGCTAAGACTCTCACCCCAGAGGAAACTGTTGAAGCAAAAGAGGCGCCTAAATCACGATTCTCTACAAGAGCAAAGGCTGTTGCTCTGATTTTGCTTCTCTCAGTTGCTTTCATATCAATCACAGTCACAAATTCTCCAGTGATTGATCATACTGTGTTTGAAGACTTATATGAGGTCTATGAATGGTCTGACTTTTCCGAGTTTGCAAGGGTTAACTTCGATCAATTCTCCCAATTTGCAAAAGCAAATTTTGACGGGTTAGCTCGAAATTTACATATTTGGTTTACTAAGTCCCTGTGGTCAATTTCTGAGTCCCTGTGGTCAATTTCTGAGTTGATTTCAATTGTTCCAAGAGTACAAAATCTGGCTAAGTTACAATATTGTAACTTGACTGTTATGCATGATTATACTCAATACCCTGTATTTGGTCACGGTGAAAATGAAATAGGTGACACTCATCAATCAGTACAGAATGTTCAAGAAAGTGATTCTGCCTTGGAGATTGGTACTGATGAGGACGTTGAAGATATTTCTGCTGAGCATTATGAAGCATACGAAGAACAAGTTCAGCAAGATATCGGAGTAATTGCTGGTGCTGAACATTCTTCAGTTGCTCCTTCAGAATCTGAAGTACTTAAGTGCCAGGCAGCCACTGTGATAGAATCAGAGCATGCTCTGCCACTGATTGAAGTAGGAAATTTAGAATTAGAAGCAAAGCTGCCACAAGAAGTTGATGCTAACTTTAATATTGAAAATGCTTCAGATCCTCCAGAATCTGAGGAAGTACTTAAGGGCCAACCTGCCACCATGATAGAATCGGATCAGGTCTTGCCACTGGCTGAAGCAGGGAACTCAGAAGCAAAGCAGACACCAGAAGATCATGCTAACTTCAATTTTGAAAATGATCCTAAATTCAACGTAGACAAACAAAGTGATGTAGGTCTCAAACATTGGCCAGATTTAGATTCAGAGGTAGCTGAAATCCATACTGTTAGAGGGAATGACCAGCCAATAAAAGCAATTGAAATTCCTCCAAGCATGGTGCTATATTTGCTGCTCTGTGGAGGCATAGTTTTAATTGCAGGTGCAGCTTTCAACTGGTCAAGGAAAGGTAAAAGCAGGAGCAAAAGAATTACTAGCTCTGTAGGGAAACCTCTGTTTGGTAAGGAATTACAGAACAAGCAGATTTCTCCGGATAAGCCATCTCTCAGGAATGGGCCCATAGAAGTGGTGGACGTGCTTGGAGGAGAGCCATGTCCTTCAGAAATGAGCAGCTTTCAGAAGAGCTCATCCTATAGCCAAAAAGTAGCGAAACAGTTGAATGAAGCTCACAGCATCGAGAAGAAGCGTAGGAATAATAACAGGAGAGAATCTTTGGCCTCTTCATCAGACTATTCCATGGGTTCATCATCCTATGGAAGCTTAACCGTGTACGAGAAATATCCAAGCAAGCAGGCGAGTATTTGTCTCTCATTCTTATATTGTATGTGTCATTGTGTGCGAAATATTAATCGTACTTTAAGAGCATCACTTGTGAATTGTTTCTCATGTGTTTCATTATATTGTTGTTTCAGGGATCGGATGAGGAGATGGTTACTCCTGTTAGGCGTTCAAGTAGGATTAGAAACCTGGCCACTTCTCCTTTGTAACCTTAACCCCACATTAGTTTGCTGTTAGGGAGGATTAGAAACTTAGCCACTTATCCTTTACAACCTGACCCCCATTAGCTGTAGCTGTTTTTGCGCGTATATTGCAAGCAGAAGTAAACCTAACTTCTGGAATCTTCTATTGATTTTGTAGCTGAAGAAATTTATTGTTGAATGAATGACTGTGATGGGTTATTAATGTATAACTAGGTGTGATTACTCTCTCATCCCGATTGTAAGTTCTTGAAATAAAATGTCTTCTGAATTTTTATATTCTTGATTTTGTAGCCGAGGAAATTTATTGTTGGATGGAATGGACTGATGGGGGTGGGGGTGTGGGGGTGGGGTTATCAATCTATACTTGTGGTGATTTCCTCTCATTGTGATTGTAGTTTTTAAACTAAAATGTTGAATATCCACTCACATTTCTTTATTTAGGGGAAAATATGTAGAAGGAATGACATGATTAACAATCTAATACTTGTGGTGATTTCCTCTCATTGTGATTGTAGTTTTTGAACTAAAATGTTGAATATCCACTCACATTTCTTTATTTAGGGGAAAATATGTAGAAGGAATGGCATGATTATCAATCTATACTTGTGGTGATTTCCTCTCATCGTGATTGTAGTTTTTGAACTAAAATGTTAAATATCCGCTCACATTCCTCTCATTGTGATTGTAGTTTTTGAACTAGAATATTGAATATCCACTCACATTTCTTTATTTAGGGGAAAATATGTAGAAGGAATGGCATGATTATCAATCTATACTTGTGGTGATTTCCTCTCATCGTGATTGTAGTTTTTGAACTAAAATGTTAAATATCCGCTCACATTCCTCTCATTGTGATTGTAGTTTTTGAACTAGAATATTGAATATCCACTCACATTTCTTTATTTAGGGGAAAATATATAGAAGGAATGACATGATTATCAATCTATACTATACTTGTGGTGATTTTCTTTCACATTTTTGAACTAAAATGTTGAATATCCACTCATATTTCTTTATTTAGGGGAAAAAATGTAGAAGGAAAAACATGATGGAAAGAATCATCTAATCCTTTAATTCCTTTATTTATTTGTGGAAAAAATGATGAAGGAAAGACAAAAAAGTAGAGAGAATTAGTGTACACAACACATAAAGAATCATCTAGTCCTTTAATTCCTTTAATCAAATGTTCATATTTAAAAGACATGATGTAAAAAATAAAACTATCATCTACAATATAAAAAATATTAATTCCAAAAATAAAGAATCTAATGAACCGGAGTGATTTATTTGGTCTTTTATATGTATGTAAAAAATAAAATTATTATCTGCAATATAAAATATATTAATCTCGAAAATAAAGAATCTAATTAACTGGAGGGATTTATTTGGTCTTTTACATCCCAATCAGAAAAACATCTGATACATCTGAGAAAAAATCCTAATTCTATACACATGACACATGACAATTGAATCATAATGAAGTCTATCTTCTGCACGTTGAACGTGTGCTATCCATAGATTGGAAATGGATGTTTAATTTTCAGTACATAAAGACACGTGGCTCTTACTCAAACAAATAGACATAAAAATGGATCCTTTCATGTTAAACAGTAGTGGTTGTGCATACCTGAAACTAAGGAATAAGAAGATGTTGTATCCAAAAAAAAAAAAAAGGAATAAGAAGATTAATAAAAAATAAAAGGAGAAAATAAATAAAAAAACAAGGAATTTATTAATCTCTTGTGATAGGAGATGGCTTACGTTATCTTATAGAAACAAATTATATGGATTTCTCCATTTTCAATGTCTCATCAAAGTAAAATAACTCTCTCCCTTAACACAGCAAATAATTTAAACCTCAAAAACAAAATAGGGAAGTTATATTTACAATTTATTTTCTCTAACAATCTTTCACAACTATTTTTATGCTTGTTGTTATGAAATGATATTAAGTGAGAGTTGTTAATTTGATTTTAATTCAACAATTATAAAAGTAATTGTAAGAAAAAATAATTTGTAAATATAATATTTCTAAAAAACAAAAGATAAACAAAACTGAAAAACTTGTTTGTCAACGTACAGTACATTTTTTCGAAAAAAAAATTCTGAAATAATTTTAGATTATAATAAAATTTATATGAAAAAACTAGCTTAGTTTTTTTATTTATTTGATAATGTTATTTAAGGTTTGATGTTTTGCAGTTATAGATTTTTTTTTTGGTATAACTTAGAGGTATCCTTATTCAAGTTCCTCGATCATTTTATTCTCCGAATACAACCTTAAAAGACTACCCCTCATTAAAATAAAGGGTGCATTTAACTATAAATTTATTAGTTATATGTATTGATAGAACATTAAAAAAAGTAAACAACATAAACAACCTATTTGCAACGATACATTTTCAGAATGTATAATAAAACACATGCATTAATTAAGATAACAAAAAATTGTATCCAAGATTTGGTAAGCAGAAAATGGACAAAAAAAAAGCTAAAAAATTTATTCCTCAACATATAGTACATTTTCAAAAAATAATTTTCTGAAATAATTGGAAATTACGATATAATTTATACGAAGAAAACTAGATTAAATTTTTGATTTATTTGATAATACTAAGATTAGAAGTAAAACTATAGATTTACTAGTTGTATATAATCTTGACAGAACAAAAATGGTTTTTTTTTTTTTTTAAGTAAGCAACATAAATAATCCATTTGCCAACGGTATATTTTCAGAATGAATAATAAAATATATGCATTAATTAAGATAATTTTTTTGAAAATAGTTGGATGCATTGGTATATTGATGATCTTGGATGCAGAGTTGGTACGGTTTAATAACTATAAAATGTTTGATTTAATAGAACTTAAATAAACAACAAATCAAAGTGGCGCAGCGGAAGCGTGGTGGGCCCATAACCCACAGGTCCCAGGATCGAAACCTGGCTTTGATAGATCAAAGGAGCTTCCACTGTTTTCTTTTTCTCCTTAGAAACTTGTTTTTTTTTTTTCCTTTTAATAGAATGTGTCATTAGCGATAAGTAGTGGGTTTTCTTTTCTTTATTTTTTGGGAGGTAAGAGGTGGGTTTTCTGATGTGAAACATATACCACTCAATAATTAATTATTTAAGGGATTACCAACATCTTTTCAGTTTTCAAGCTATATATCCAAGCGGTAGTGCCTCAGTGGGTGTGATTTGATATCTTTATGTGGAACCGTACAACATTGGACACGTCAATGACCTATTTCCCTAATCAGATAGGTGGCAACTGAGAGGTGTTCATAGCTTAAAAAGCTCGCTCTTCTTTTACCAGTTGCCATCTAGTACTGTGTGCATAGCATGAGATGAGAGCAAATTCAATGGAGGATTTTCAATTGCTTATTATTGGTTTCTACTTTCTAAACCCACTTTCAATCCTCCATTTGAAAGCAGTGCTAGTGTTAAATGAGAAAGAAGATGGACTTGTCACAGTTATGCTTTCGTTATTGTCAAATATTTGGAATCGTGGAAATAGCTATGCTATGGATGGTAAGAAACGAACGTTTTCATTTATTATGTAAGATTTCGTTAGTGGAGGTTATTAACTGGGCCACTCATTAAAAGTTGTTTGTCACTGGCCCAATTTACACTCCCCTTGTGCTGGTATTCTTTAATAATAATCATTAATTTTTTAAGAAAATATATAAGTTTACTTACTTATATCACCTTCGTATCCCATTAATTTTTTATTCTACTTAATAAAAATATCAAAAGACAAATATGAAGTTAAAAAGAAATCAATGTATTCTTACTTTTTAAAATTACAAATATTTAAAATAAAATTAAAACTCCTAAAATGATAATTACTTTATAACAAAATAACATCTTCTTAGAGACTAACAAGATAATATAATTATGGTTTTTGTGCCAGGATAGCTGTCCTAAGTAATAAATGTAAATTGATTTACGTGGCATAATTGCTAACTGGTTATACTATATACTATAGTATAGAATTGCATTATTAAAAAGTATTAATGAGTGGATAAGAAATTTACTTAGTGGAGCACAAGAAAAACAAATAATGCATTGGCACTAAAAAATGTCTAAAGATTAAAGCATCTTATTATTTTGGAAATGCAAAAATATTTAATGATACCTAATATTTTTTCAGAAATTAAAATCAATTAATAAAAAATATTAAATACTTCTTAATCAGTATGCAATATTATTACTAGTCAAACCTTATACTTTCTTTATTTCAGTTATGCACTCTCTAATACTTTAGAAACCTGAGTGTTCATGCTAATTAAATTCAGTTTTAGTTTTCTATCATGACCTTTTTATCCTTCATTAATTAATTAATAATTATTTTGTCCCTTATTGAAAACTATCTACGAACATGTTTCTCTTTAATCAATTAACTTGAATATTTAATCGATTAAATGGTCAAAACAGATAAAAATGATTGACTCGAGATTTAATCGATTAAATCTCTCTATTAAATCTACCTTGGGAATCAAAAATAGGGAGATTAAATCGATTAAATCTCGAGTCAACGATTTTTGTCTGTTTTGACCATTTAATCGATTAAATATTTAAGTTAATCGATTAAAGAGGGGCAGATTGGTAGATAATTTTCAATAAAAGACAAAATAATTATTAATTAATTAATGAGAGACAAAATAGTCAAAAAACCGAAGCAGAACACCACGGGTTTGGCCAATTGATAAGCAATAACTGGAGGATACCGCAAAATAAAAAAGCTCCATGCATGAACTGAGAAAATAACAAATATTCTATGTTATCCATTAACGATATCATATTCATACCCTCAAATATGAGTTTGAAGCATTTTTTCAATTTTCAAAAATGTGATTCGACTAGTTAGTTAAACAGGTTGAATTGTAAAACTATAATGTATCTTATTTAAATATTATATATAATTTAATTATAAATGAAATTAGTTAAAGTAATTGAACCAAGAGACGAAAGTTTCATCAGTTTAATTTAATCACTTGTTGAATGGTGGAAGGACCCTTGAACTGGAGGGCACAGTTTGCACCGCATTCAATCTCTCTCTCTTTCTGTTGCATCTGCGCATTAATGATCCCATAACCCAGGAAGCATTGAAGAATAAGGTAGAAGATAAAGATAAGCTCAGTGACAGTTGTAAGCATTGTTATTGGTCAGCAAAAACTCGCTCCATATCTCAATGTTATATAGTTTTACAATTGGCCTTTAACTTACTTTGTAAGCATAAGTAGCAAGCACCCTCTCCAAGGAGGCATTAATAAAGGTTGTCTAGGCTCACACTTTCAAGTTTCACAGAGTTAACAAGAGCTCACCTAAAGCCTAAAGCAGCACAGCTTTTCTTTTTCTCTCATATAGCCGAATGAGCTTCACTTTGTTACAATATATTAGTTTGAGAGAGGATAAGGTTTCAGATCCTTAAGGTACGTTCAAGCCAATCGTCCATCACCACCTCTCCCAATCAAGATGCAGCCTTTCAGAGATATTGAAAAAAAAACAAAACCATTTATAAGTTTTTATGTATATGCCCTGCATCTGCAACAACTGAGTGATAAATTTGGCAGCAGCCTCAGCCTGTAAATTTCTTCCCTCTTCTTAATAGTGCTGCTATGATGGGACTTGCTCTCACCATGTCCTTGATCTGTGGTCTTTTGGACTTTTGCAATTAACCAAGTTATTATATAGAGAGATCAACTGAGACTCACTCCAAGACCCATCATTTTCTTTTTGCCTTCTTTACTATTACTATACACATGAGGTTTTTTTATAGGCCAACTATAATACAAGCTTTAATTTTTTTTCACAAGTGCACACCTATTGCTTTGTTGTCTTTTTCTGCTCCCTTGTCTTTTTTCAGGCACCATTATGTGAGTCTGGTCTCTTGAAACCTGTGATTTTCGTTGGAGGTATTGAGGCCGGGGAAGAATTTTCAAGGCTTCTTCCTTATCCTGGTTGGTTTTTTAAAGGGTTCATTCGGAGTTACCATTTGAGATTTTTCTTTCAAAAGTCTTTACTTTTGGAGGGTATTGAAACATAGGCAAGGTAGATTCCTGATAGTATTCCCTTACACCTTTCTGCTTTTTGATTCCCAAGGAGGAAAAAATAAAGTATTTTATCTCATTAGCAAGTAGCAACCATGATGATATCTTTAGGATAAAAAAAAGTTTTCAGTCATGTATGTCTATTTATATTGAAATAGAGAACTACGTATGTTATCATTGTTTTTACTCTCAACTCACTTCACTTGCTCTGTTTTCTCACAAACACCCCTCCATCTGTATTTGCAGGGAGCTAGGAAGAACAAATAGCAATGGCAGATTGGGGTGGTTTTCTGAAGAAAAGCAGCAATTTTGGTGGGGGGTCAATGAGGAATGAAGATTTTGATGAAGAAGATGTGTGGGGTGTGGCTAAGGAGGAGAATTATTTAAGGGTATCTAAGGACTCATCTGGTTCTTCTTCTGCATGGCGCATGCCTACCTCTCCAAGAAAGATCCAAAGGGTTAATAGTACTACACTACCCTTCTCGGGATCCGAATCCGATGAAAATGTGGTACAAGGGTACTCAGCACCTATGAACATCCCTGACTGGTCAAAAATTTATGGGAATAATGGCAAGAAGGGGTCAAGGGATGGTTCATGTGTTGCTGTTGGGGAAAGAGTAAACAACAATGGGGATTGTGGTTATGGGGATCATTACAATGATGATGCTGAGGATGAGGATGAGGGTGATATGATTCCTCCCCATGAATGGATTGCTAGGAAACTTGCAAGGAGCCAGATTTCATCTTTCTCTGTGTGTGAAGGGATAGGAAGGACACTGAAAGGAAGAGATCTTAGCAAAGTGAGAAATGCTGTTTTGACCAAAACTGGTTTCATAGAGTAGTTAGTGGATTCACCACCATACTCATGTCATTATCAGCTTCATGTTTTGGCATCACTTCTGACCCTACCACAATGAAAGTCATCATCATCATTGTTAGACTCCGATCCCATGCAATCTTTTTATTTTTATTTTTATTTTTATTTTTATCATTCGTACTAATATGTAGAATGGAATGTGAGGTCCTGCTGTCTTCGTAACTTAAAATAGAGTCTGTTACATGAAAGCCAGAGCTTCCCTTTTTTGTTTTGTTCTTTTTGTTTCTTGTTCTAAATTTTCTGGAAAAAGGGAGTTTTAGGGAATGGAAAAAAAAAAGAAAAGGAGTGGCAGCCTCTGAATTTTTGTCTGAATTTCTATTAAACTTAAGCGAATGGAATGCACTCTGTGATGTAGTTTAATAGTTTTTGAGTTTTCTCTTCTGGTTGGTTTATCATTCATTAAGTATTAATGCTTTATATATGTCCTCTCTATTTCTTTTTCTTTTAAAATCAGCAAGTCTGTTTTTATTGCATCATCTTAATCATTCCTTCCTTTCAATTCTTAGTGGCAAACCACTGTTTGCATTGAAAGTTGTGATTACTTCGGAACCTAAATGAAGCCTTCAATTCAAGGCATAGATTCCACAAGTAAAACCAATATTATTAAACCCACATCCGTGATTGATTCGATCAGAATATCAAGTCAGTGGATTATTGATTTTAGTTAGTGAATTATTGATTGAATTCTATGACCTGAATAAATATATATTAATTTATAATTTATATTTAATTATATAATAAATATTTTTAATGATGCAATTTGACCAGCAACTAAATATAGTCTAGTGGTAAGTACTATGATTTATATGACCCTAACACAGGTTCAATCTCTATTTGTTGTAATTTTTGAAATAACTCTACTTAACTATATATAAATATATTAAATGGTGCATATAACCCTAATATATAAAACATTTTATATATGTATTTTCACAAACTGATTTGAAGAAAAAAATTGGTATCGGTTCATCGTTGCTTCATTGGATTATACCGGGTCAATCATGAACCTGGTCGGTTCATTGGATTATACCGGGTCAATCACATATCCAATTCATTGTTGGAACCGAATCAGTTGATGGACCGGTTTCCAGTCCAACCAACTAGGCGAGTGCGGCCTCAATTTAACCAACAACCTAATGTAGCCTAGTGGTAAGTACTATGATTTATATTATCCTAATAAAGGTTCGTTCCCCTAATAAAGGTTCGTTCACCACTTGCTGCAATTTTTGAAATAATTCTACTTAATTATATATAAATATATTAAATGGTGCATATAACCCCAATATTAATGTATGCATTTTCACAAACCGGTTTGAAGAGGAAAACTGGTATCGGTTGAACTGCAGTTCATTATCGGTTCATCGGATTGATATCAGGTCAATCACATATCTAATCCATTGCTGAAATCAGATTGGTTGATTAACCGGTTTCCAGGCCAACCAGTCGTGCTAATTTGGCCTCACTAGTGCCCCCCCCCCCTCCCAAAAAAAATCTTTGGTGCATTAGATGTATCTAACTCAATACATCTTTTTTTCACTTTTGAAAAAAAATTCATCACTTTTTGAAATTTGGAAAAATTAATTGAAATATTTTTTTATTTAATATTTCATTATTGATTTTATTATAATTTTATTTGATAATATCATAATTATATAAAATAAAATTTAGAAAAAGTAGATATTTTTATATATATAATATAACAAAGGGTTTAAGTGATATATTTTTGTAATCATAATGAGTAGAGAATTAAATGATAAATTATTTAAGCACAATGAGTCTAAGTGACAAGTTTATAACAACAGGAGTTGAATTGAAGTGATAAATTATAAAACCATGGTGAAAGAAGTTTTTTTTGTTGGTAAAACTGACGTGGTTTTTACTATATACATAAATAAACCCTTATTTTTCAAGTGATTTTAAATAACTTATGTAGGGAAAAATTTATATCATTTCCTTTCAAAGGAATTGAGATTTTTAAGTAGTCACATGGAAATGACAATCACACACATATCGAAAAATAAAAGAGAAAAAAGAGAGAATTTTGACACGGTAATTTATACTGGTGCACCCAATATAGGCTACGTCTAGCTTATTTGTCCTATATTTACCTCACCGCCACTCGTTACAAATAGGGGTGTAAATGGGTCAGGCTGGGCTGGGCTTTGTGTAACATCCCCGTCTCGAGCCGGTTCAATTAACATACACATGATACTAAAACATGCATCAGCGGAAGACTTAACTTAATATCTTGCATTAGCTTACTAAATTACAAGCTAACTTTTTTCTTTATTCTTCATTTCGTTTCACATGATATCTCACATTGCATACTTCTTCAATTTAATTCGTATTTGACGAAGACGAAAATCGGGCAGAGTAACCTCTGTAAATTGGACAACTGGGGATTTTTCAATCCCACTCTCAAAGGTTCCTGATAAACAGTTTATATCATATATGATTTCAGAAATACCAGATATCTATATAGGACTATATACCCATCCATGGGTGCATGCATAACTGGCTCTGTGCCACTATGTCTAACAGCATACATATTTTAGCAAATGCACATATCTGAATACACAAATGTACGTGCATCAAATATGAACACATGCACAAAACATTTAGGGACCATATATTGTATAATGGATCAAACATCATGATCCTAAAATGAATAGAACACTATACAACAGTATATATTCTCCAAAAATAACATCTATAATAAATAGTAGCGTCCGGCCACCCAGAACTCTATATCCTCGTACTAGTACCTCTAGCCACGGGTAGTGTCTTTGTTCTGTGAGGGCTCTTCAATTAACTGTGTTCTTGAAATCATATCCCCAAACGGGGTTAGAGACGAATCTCTAGTAAGCTCCAGGTTTATAGAGAACTCTCCATACCCTGTGCTCACTTCATACATGGCAGTCAGATACATAATATACAAAACATCATATATCATAACAGAACAAAACATATACACATATCTTATCAGAGACGTACGCAGTCATTCCCAAGGGATGACCTAAGCGAAAATCAACGGACGTAACAAATATCATATACAAAATCATCACAATAATCACATCAGAACAAAACATTTCTTATGAGAGACGTACGCATTCATTCCCAAGGGATGACCCCAAGCGGAAATCAACGCGCGTGTTCCCAAGGGAGGACCCCAAGCGGAACCAGAACATATCAGAGGTGTACACCATCAGTCCCGAGGGATGACCCCAAGCAGACATCAGTGCACACAGGATCAATGGCCAGAGATCATCACATAACAGAGGTACACACAGTCAATCCCAAGGAAGGACCCAAGCGAAAATCAGTGCACATGTTCCCAAGGGAGAACCCCAAGCGGACATCAGTGTATATAGAATCAATGGCCAGAGATCTTTACGGAAATCACATCAAAACATATCAAAGTAAACACATCAAAACATATCAAATTAAACACATAAAAACATATCATATCACATCATCATATAGTTCTATATGAATGCATCTATATCATATATCTCATACATATCATACAACTTGACCACAGTCCGTACACTATGGAGGAAACACAAAGTAGGAGCGAACCCCATAAACATAGAGCTTACCTCTTGAAGCTTTACTAATTCGTTTACTTGTCGCACAAGTTACTTATCTTACTCCCCGAGAGTCCAAACGTTCACAGTCCCTGGGCACACCTAGAGAAGAAATTCAACACAAAACTCAATAAAATGATATAATGCCACGTAAGTATACAAGACACACACTTTATTGTTTATTTTCTTTTTACTTAATCATATTAGGCCATGAGTGGGTGGTTCTTTGTTCAACAAATTTCCACAAAATTTCACATATTCACTTAGTCTTAGGATAGTCCCAAAAGGCCATTAGAACACCCATTACTCGTCTTAGCACCTAAAAGCCTATTTTTCCCAATTTAAGGCAAAGTGCCCGTTACAAAGGAGCTATAAGATTTCTCTTTGTCTAGTGCCTAAACCCAAGCTTAGCCACCTATATAATTTATTTTACGCATAAAAGTATGCTCGCTTTGCAAAACAGTAACTTCTAGCACAAACCTCCTTTGAAAATGGCCATAATCACATATAAGGCCTAAAGAAGGATCTTACTCATTTTTCTTTTTATCTAACCCAACCAAAGATTTAAACATCTAATTATATAGTCCTTAGGCCGTATAAGTACTCATTAGCACAAACGAGCACTCTAAAAACATACTTCATTTGTAAACGGCTAAGAGGCAAATAAAGGAAATCATGTCAATTTCATGATTCTAATATTTTAGTCAATCAAATTCAAACTTATCATACAACCATAATCATCATTAGGTAATAAAACCCATTTTACACATTAATTCATCCTTTTATGCCTTAAAACATAAGACACCACTAAGCGTCATTCAATTAATTCACTCAATTACAACTTATATATACATATAAACCTTCACAAAGTGTCCAATTATTTTTTGAACCTTAAACCCTAATTTTTACACCATGGCTGAACCTAGTGGGAGGAGGTGCAAGAGACTTTTTCAAAATTTCAACACATATTCATACTCATTTCACACTATAACATCATAAATCATACTCACTCATCATCAATTTCAAATTTCCAACTCCAATATTTTTCATAACATATGCTCATAATATTCAAAACTTAAATCATATAAATCAAACTGTTAGAATGAGGATTTCTTACCTCAAATCGCTTATCCAAGGTCCAAGGAATAAAATCCAAGCTTGGTTTCACCCAAAAATCCACTTCTGTCACTAGAATGAATAGTAACCGAATTTTGAGAGGAAGAGAGTTCTTCACACAAGCCTTTTCAGCCTAAACAAAGTAGTGGGATGGATTCACCATGATTCTACTTAAACTTTCATGTATGGCACTTTGTGTTTTGGTGGCTAGATGAGTGAGAAAGAGAGGAGAGAGAGAGAGAGAGAGAAAACCCTAACCCCTCCCCACAACCATGAAGCCTCGGGTGAGAAAAAAAGAAGCCGACAATGGCGCGAGAAAAGGAAGAAGAATTTAAAGGATTTTACTGTATGTAAAGTTAAGTTATTTTAACTGGGTAACAACTTATCTATCTACACACCTCCATTCAATACCAAACTTTACCCAATGAACTAGAATATTTTTGTAGTCATATTTCTAATTTTACTTTCACTTTTTCGGGTAACTTTGCTTACCCGTATTTTTATTCCTTAACTGTCATTTTAACTCATTTTTCATCAAATGTGACTTTATTTCTTTTACTTATATTTATTCTTCAATATTAAATCCACAACTACTAGTGAGGGTTATTATACTTTGGCCTTCCTGGCCTAAGCCTACGTAAAAAAATATTCAGCCTATCTGGTCTATTGGCCTACTAAAGGCTTTATTTATAGGCCAAGTCTGACCTATTTTTAAAGATTAGAGAGCCTTATATGGCCTACAGGCCTTATAGGCCTCCCTAGTGAAATATTTTTAAAAAAATTTAAAAATATTTTTAACAATTTTTAAAATATTCGCTTGACATTACAAGTTATTAACGTGTTCATAAATTACTGCATTTTTTTACACGAGATATGAATTTCACTAGTGAGCATTAAAATTTTTACAATAGTAAAAAAAATAACTATAAAAATATACTGAGCAAAGTTCCATTCATGCATATAATAGTACTTCTCATAATTCATAAAAAATGACAAACAAGAAAGAGTCAACATAATACCCAGCTCTATAATGTATATCATATACCCTAAAATAAATATTTTATTTTATAAAATTAAATAGGTCAGCCTACAAGGCTTTAGGCCAGGCTTGACAAAATTGGCCTATGACCTACTTGTTAAAAAGGTTTTCTTATGATATCAAAAAAAAAAAAAAAAAGGTTTTCTTATAAGCTTAAGTCGACTCTACTTTTTTAATGTAGGCCGGGCTGTTGGCCAGGCCAGGCCAGCCTGACCCATTTACACCCTTAGTTACAAATCAATCGATTTACCAGAAGAATATAAATAGGATTAGAAAACCCTAACAACAGCTATTTATGGACCCAAGTTCAAACTACTAAAAAAAGAAAAAATTATAATAATTCAAAAGTCCACAATAGTACTTAACCTCTAGTGACTCTCATCAGTACGTGAAATATAAGTCACACCTAACACATATAATTTTGAATATTCACTTAGTCCTTAAAGTTTATGTCGAAGGGAATTACAATTTTGTTATCAAATTAAAATTTGAATACAAGAATACCGGATTTCTAACCTAAAATTTAAAACATGATATGCAAAATATGAGACCCTACTATCCCATGCATTGTTTTCCATTTACATACCTATCATATCAGGTTATCTATAATTGTAGAGTTAATTGAGATTATATTAACATCCTGAATTGAGTCATTCCTCCTCGAACCGTCTATTGATATTTTAATCAACCCACCATGAGATTAAGCTCAGCTCAAATTTCTAACGGGCAAAATCTTGAAGATTCCCTTAGTCTGTCGGGCACAATCTTCTAATCTGCACAGACATGCACTTTATTCCATAGGTAAGTAAAGTTATAGCGCGTTACCATCCTTCGAAAGGTATCTGAATGAAGGCAAAGTCATTTTCTCAGGCTCAGCAACGTGAACCCTCTCATAAATTTCATTTTCAATGTGACAAAGCACATTTTTTACTTTTGCAGCCAGAAACGGAATCACGGTGTAAATATTGAGAAGAAAGACCTCATGCGTTTTGTGTTAGCAGAAGATTAAATATATATATACATATATGTATATAGTTTACTTTACTGGCTCCGTTACACTTAACCATTATTCAGGGCTAGGCAAACATACTTGTTCGGCGTTATCAGAAGAATTGAGTAACATAACCCGTTTCCACCATTTGGTGTTTCACTTTTGGTTATTCTGACCATAAACCAAACCAGTTTACATGAAAAGACTTGGGTGGGATCCATGTGAACTGGATTCAACCCATTGTTGAGAAAACCAACCTAGGTGTACCTGCTGTTAGTACAAACGATAATAATAATTACTTAATACCAAACGCAAATTATAAGAAACAAAAAAAACTTTCTATCAAATAACTGCAATTAATGCATACAATAATAATGTGTTTTTCCTTTAATTTTTAATTGGGGTACGGTATTAATTTATTATATGATTTATGAAACTGCACATTGAGTTGAGCTGAAAAGTTGTCGAATGAAACATTTAGCAGATTGTTAAGGTGAGAAACAAAAACTGAAGGGAGACAAGGTAACACCGACATCTGAGAAACCGTGATCGAACACTTGAATAACTGTTACCGTTATTTGTTACAAGTATTATTCCAAATTTCCTGTGTGTGTTACGAAGAGCCGTTTGTTGAAAAGGGTCGGTTCCGTAACATCGGAAGATTAAGAGGGTGCCTTAGTGAGTCTTCCTCTCTTGCCTCAAGCGCACGAAGTAGGGACTGAGTCCCACAGACAGAAGCTGTAAAGTTTTTTTGTTTCCCCTCTTCTTGTTGTGCTTTTTCCCTGTTTGAATTTGTTTATTCTATTTCTGGGTTTTGTAGTGAGGTGAGGTGAGCAAGAAGAGGAGAAGGAAAATGTCTATGAAAATCAAGGGAGGAGCTTTAGAACTGAGTGCGAGGAGCTTCCTTCATAGGAAATGGGCTCTTTTGCTTTGTGTGGCCAGCTTCTGTGCCGGAATGTTCTTCACCAATAGGTACTTGTGCTTATGGGTTTCTATAATTGGGCATCAAGTTTTCATTTTTGGTTATTCTCATTGATTGATTGAGTTTCTAGATTGGGAATGGGGTTGTGCCTGTGGTTTAGCTCCAAGGAAGAACATTTTGTTACCTGATTTTGAAGGAAGTTCTTGACATTGGCTAACTGTTCTGCTACATTGGATTAGATGATTGATTTAGGGAAACTTGTTCTGAACCAGCGTCAGTTGTTCTTTTTGTTATTGTTTGTTGTATTTTTTTATTTTTTTTATTTTATTTTTTTGAAAAGGGGTTGTTTAAATATGAATTGTGTCATAGGTATGGACTGCATTGTCATGAACTACATTGCTTGTGCATTGAACTTAACCCGTGCCTTCTGCATTAGGGCCGCTTTAATCCTTTCGAATTCTCACTCTTAGTTTGTTTTATACTTATATTTAGATTATAATTGTTTGTGTATAATTCACCGTATGATTTTCTATTGGTTTCATTAAATGTCCAAAGTTACACATACACATTTTATTCTTCTCGCATCCACTTCATGCTTCTCCTCCTCCGTGGCCTCAAAACAAGAGAGGTGGGTATCTGTATTTTATTCCCCCCCACCCTCTCTCTTTATGTAGTTGCTGAAAATGGTAAGCTTTTAATTAAATAAAGGCATTGTAGTAAACTTAAATTGAATGGAGACTTATTTTCATATGTCATGACTTTTCATCCTCAATTTATTGACTTTCTTCATCTCCCTTGATTTTGGTAATGCAAGTTTGAGGACAAATATCCACTTATTAAGCTAGGTTTCTAAATTTAAGTGTTCACAACTATGCTTTTATCATCAGAAACTGAAGATAGAGTTCTTTTTTTGTCCAATTTCTTCTCTATTAGTATTTATTACATTAAATCTCAAGTGGGCTAATCATTGTAATATATGTGTATTACTAACCACAAATTTTGTATCAGGATGTGGTCAATGCCTGAATATAAAGAAATTTCAAGGACTTCTAGTGAGATTGAACGAATAAAATTAAACTCTGATGGTTGTAGTCTTAATCTTGTAAGTTTATCTGTCACACTTCAACTCATGTCATATTTTTGCCATGATTCTATCATGCATTTTACCCCCATCCCATGATATGCTTGAAGCACCGGCAACAGGAACAGGCTACTGATACGATGTACACACTATTTTAATTCAATTTAATTATGAAAAATGAGGCTTGTAAGTTGAAGTCTTGCTTAGTTGACAAGGTTCTAATGGTCACGGACCTGCTATTTCAAAAGATAAAGTGTTAGGTGCATGTCAAGAATGCTTTTTATCTGTAACATTTTTCTCTAGTTGCTTTTGAAATTTAATATTTCTTTTGAAGTTTAAATCATAGGCATATAACTATTAGCTGCATCTTCTGTTATTTTTTTAAAAAAAGAAAGAAAGTGATCACAACACTTTTTGCTTAATGTTTTGCCATTTTCCTAGGTTGTGAAGCCTAATTCCAATTACAGTCAAGTGGAAGTTTCAAATACACAGAATGTTATCAAGTAAGCCTAGCCAATGCTTGTTTGCACTGGATTTACATATATGCTTATCAAAGACGTAAATGCTAAACCCATTGCTATACATGAATTGCAGGAAACCAAGAAAGACTATCCACTTTGGAGCTGAAGGAAACTCAGAGACAGTTGATTCAACTCCAAGGAAAAAATATTTCATGGTTATAGGAATCAATACAGCTTTTAGTAGCAGGAAGCGAAGAGACTCTGTTCGTGCAACTTGGATGCCACGAGGTGATTTAATAATATTCCAGCATTTTCTGGTTTTTCCTGTTTTAAAAGTTCTCTTATAACTTGTTTATGTGATTCCATATGCCTCATGTACTGATCCATGATTTCTAATTGAACTTCATTAGCTGAGGAAAGAAAGAAGTTGGAGGAAGAAAAGGGCATAATCATTCGTTTTGTTATAGGTCACAGGTTAGATTCAATATATCTCCTGGTATCCACTGTCATTATTCTGTTGCAGTTAAGTTCCCATATGATTTGGTCATTAGAACTTTGTTTTGTGGCCTCACCATCAAATTTTTTCAAACTGATCACTGTTATTCTCTCATTCTGATGCAAGTTGTGTTTATTTCCATCCAACAAGATTGGTGTTGATTGGTAGTATACTTACTATTTCAGAACATTCTTTTAGTTGAAGCAACTATAAATAATTGTTGTCAAAATCAATCACCTAAAGTTACAAAACCTTGGGCTAACGTGAATGATGAATTCCTATATGATTGGTTGAGTTCATGTTGCCTTGTGGTGTTACATAACCAATTACCTATATTTAATTAGCCTTTTTGTCTGTAGTTCTACATCTGGTGGCATTCTTGACAAAGCTATCGAAGCAGAGGAGAAGCTTCATTCGGACTTTTTGAGGCTGGTGATCTTTCTCTCCTGTCCTTTTTCATTTAAATGGATAATTCCATATCTTATTTATATTGTGCTGACTTATTTTTGTCGATGAAACAAAATGCATCCATGTTTAAGCAGAACCACGTTGAGGGCTACTTGGAACTATCGGCTAAGACAAAGACCTACTTTTCAACTGCTGTTGCCTTGTGGGATGCAGAATTTTATGTCAAAGTTGATGATGATGTTCATGTAAATTTAGGTAAATAGAAAAATTATTCGGTGTTTAAAGTTAATAATTATATTTGTAGAGTTATGGGAGAAGTAACTAGGATAAATTGAAGTGGTAAATCTAAGTGGCATTTTATGTGCTTGGTATGCTGAAGTGTTATATATTGAGAATTGGTGCATTCCCTTTAGAACATTCGCATAATGGTTATGTGTTTTAATATGTTGTTCTCATATATGCATTTGGATGAACTTCAAATCAAATTGACAGAAGAATGAAACGCATAAAATCCACTTGACTCTTGATTATTGTAGGTTTACTTGACTACCTTCTTTAGACTTAATAATAGTAATTAGATATCGCAATTTCTCCAGTGTAAGCTTGTGTAATTTCGTTCAATTGGCTAAGTTACAAGCATAGTTATTTAACTAAGCAACCATAATTGTTGGTCAATACAAACATCCATCACTTTCCTCGTTGTGCTTATTGTTTATTTTTTATCTCAGCAACACTTGGACTGACTCTGTCTATGCACCGTTCGAAACCTCGGGTTTATATTGGGTGCATGAAATCTGGTCCTGTCCTTGCTCAGAAGTAAGAAAAGGTGTATTTTATTTTCTTCATTTTGTTTAAAACCACTTCGTAGTGTAACTGTCTTACTACAGGGGAGTGAAATACCATGAACCAGAATACTGGAAATTTGGCGAGGTGGGAAACAAGTACTTTCGTCATGCTACAGGACAATTATATGCCATTTCACAAGATTTGGCTACTTATATATCAAATAATCAGTAAGTTTTGTTTTCCTCGCTTAGAACTGTTGAAGTGCACAAAGGGGGGAGAGGGTACTAGTGAAATTGAGATTTTCATTATGTTGGAACAAGTACAGACTAACAATTTCATGGACCTTGTGTGGCCTTCTTTACTCTTACATAATTGAATACTATACTAACTAATATGGCATACAGTCACCTTTGATGGATTGTGATAAGACACCTCTGAGGGTGTATAGTAGAAGACGTCACAGAGGATCAGCTCAAGGGGGGTCAGCTGAGGTGGCAGGGAATATTTTAGATGGAAGGAATTCAGTTAGAAGGGAAGGAGAGGCACATGATGTGAGGGCTGACGTGGCTGCCTTAAGCGAGTAAATGGTTATAAGGAGGGTGTGGCATGGAAGGAAAAAGGCAGGCTGGATTTGGAATGAACTTGGGAGAGAGCACACCTCTCGAAAGTGTTGCATTCGTGACTGTTCATTGCGTTATTCCTTTATGCAATTCATAGCTGTAGCTGTTCTGCATTTTCTTCTTGTTATTGTAATTGTTAGACAAACTATTTTCCTTCTTTCTTAGATGTATTCAGTTTTCATTATCAAATCCAGTAAGTTCTGGGCCAAATTCCCCTGTGTTTTCATTTCTTTTGTTGGCAATCTGATCCAGTCTTAACAACTGGTATCAGAGCACTCCGATCTGGGGTGCTTTGAATGGTTCTGACGCGCAACATGGACAACCGATTTGAGATTTTAGAAGAGAGGCTAAGAAGCAACGAGGCGTTGGTGGAGGAACGCTTCCGGCAAAATGAACAAAGACTCAATGAAATACTGCAGCTATTGCAAGACGACCGTCATCGCAGAGGGCACCGTAATCATGAGGGAAATCGTCGTCGTGGTCGCTCACGGAGGGTGAGCCTTGAATCCACAGAATCTGACAATAGATTCGAGACGGAGGCGGACATGCGTAGAACGGGATGGCAAAGCCCAAGACTAGATCTACCAAGATTCTCAGGAGATGATGTGTACTCCTGGCTGAACAAGGTGGAGAGATTCTTCTTAATTAATAGAATCCCAGACAGAGACAAGGTGGAATCTGTGATGGTGGTATTGGAAGGTCCTGCTCTGAATTGGTATCAGGTGTGGGAGCGCGACAACCCTAATGCGTCGTGGGCAGACTTCAGAGCAGACGCAATGGAGCGATTTCAATTGGAGGTGAGTGGAAGTCCCTACCAGGAATTAATGAATCTGAGACAAACTGGAAGTGTGGCAGTTTACAGGGCTGAATTTGAACGGATCATTGGCCCCCTCCATTATGCTGATGAGCATATGTTAAGGGAAATATGGCTCCATGGCATTTGTGACAGCTTCCGTATTGAGTTGTTGCAGAGAAACGTCACAAGTTTGGCTGAGATGATGAGAGAGACGATGCTGATGGAGAAACGGAACGCTGCGTGGATTGGAGATGGGTTTGGAATTAACGGAGGAGTAAGATGGGCTGGACTAGGTAGGACAAATCAGCCAAATCGAATTGGGCCAAGCTCAACGAGTAACAAACAAGGGCCCAATCACGCAACCCAGCTCAATCAGACGTCGAGAAATGACGCTTCTGCCCCTAATAATGTGGCTGAGAATAACACGCGTGTCTCTGGAATTGCCAATTTGGGGGAATCTGCTGGCATTGCACGAACCCTAGCAGATTCGACCAGTAATAATCAGAAATTTGTGGGACGGAGACTTTCCCAAACGGAGCTTCAAGATCGCATGCGTAGGGGAGCGTGTTTCAAGTGCAATGAAAAATGGAATCTGGAACATCGTTGCAAAAGTGCACAGCTGCAGCTCTTGTTGGTGAACGACGACGAAGAAGCCGACCGTCCAGAAGGGGAGAACATCCAAGTAGAAGAGGAGAACGAGACGGAGAAAGAGGAAGCGTTGCAGCTTTCTATGTACAGCGTCCTAGGGCTCTCTTCGAACCAAAGTATGCAGCTATGGGGCTCCATCCGAGGGGAGCGTGTCACGATGCTAGTGGACTGCGGAGCGACTCATAATTTTGTGAGTAAGGCAGTGGCGGACCGTTTGTGTCTGGTTGTTGAAGAGACCCTCACTTTTAAGGTGGAAATGGGGGACGGTTACAAGGTTACTAGCCACGGGATCTGCCGTCAGGTGGAAATTCTAATACAGGGCACATCCACGCGTCAGGATCTACGCATCTTCGAGCTTGGTGGGGCCGAAGTCATTTTGGGTCTCGACTGGCTGAAAAGTTTGGGAGAGATTCGTGCTGATTTCAACAAACTCACCTTGAAGTTCCTTGACGGTGACCGTGAAGTGGTGTTGAAGGGAGATTCATCTATAACCTGCAAGAAAACGACAGCTTCTTTTCGTTCAGCAATTAAGGCGTTGGCTGAGGACGGACAAGGGTATGTGATAGCTTCGATGTGGTCTTCTGTGGAGCAGAAGAAGAACACTGGAGATTGGAGAGAATTAGATGAGTTGCTCGCAGAGTATGAGGACATTTTTCAAGTTCCAAATGATCTCCCTCCAGCCCGAAGACAAGATCATGCTATAATCCTCAAACCAGGAAGTCAGGTGCCAAATGTTCGACCCTACAGGTATCCCCATTATCAGAAAAATTTAATTGAAAATTTGGTTGCTGAGTTGTTACAATCGGGGATGATCAGACCGAGTGTAAGCCCTTACTCCAGCCCAGTAATTCTGATTCGGAAAAAAGATGGTAGTTGGAGAGTGTGTGTTGACTATCGAGCCTTAAATAAGCTGATTATTCCTGATAAATTCCCTATTCCGGTCATAGAAGAATTACTCGATGAGTTAGGAGGCTCTAACATTTTTTCTAAACTGGATCTGAAATCGGGGTACCATCAGATTAGGATGCGTGAGGAGGACATTCCTAAAACGGCTTTTAGAACACATGAGGGCCATTACGAGTACTTGGTGATGCCGTTTGGGCTCACCAATGCTCCTTCCACCTTTCAATCTCTTATGAATGAGGTCCTCAAACCATTTTTACGCAAGTTTGTTCTTGTTTTTTTTGATGATATTCTAATTTTCAGCAAGGACCAAACTGATCATTTGGAACATCTTAAATTGGTGTTTGGGGTGTTGAGGCAACACTGTTTATTTGCAAACAGAAAAAAATGTAGCTTTGGGCAGGAATACATTGAGTACTTGGGTCACATAATTTCCAAAGAGGGAGTACGTGCTGACCCTAAGAAAATTGAAGCCATGACCAAGTGGCTTCCCCCTAAGAATGTGAAGGCACTTAGAGGATTTCTTGGATTGACCGGCTACTATAGGAAATTTGTGCAGGGGTATGGAAAGGTGGCTAAACCATTGACAGACTTGTTAAAGAAGGACAGCTTTGTTTGGTCAGCAGAGGCACAACAAGCTTTTGAACAACTGAAGACAGCTATGTGTTCCGTCCCTGTCTTGGCACTCCCTGATTTTACCAAGCCTTTTATGGTGGTGACAGATGCTTCGGGACGAGGGATAGGTGCTGTTTTGATGCAAGGGAATCAACCCATAAGTTTTATTAGCCAAGGGTTCTCACCTAGAGCTCAAGAAAAGTCTATTTACGAAAAAGAATTAATGGCTATTGTCTTTGCGGTGCAAAAGTGGAGGCCTTACTTGCTGGGCCGTCACTTTATCATTAAAACTGATCAGAAAAGTCTCAAGTTCCTAACTGAGCAGAAGTTGTTGGGAGAGGACCAACAGAAGTGGATATCAAAGCTGCTTGGGTATGATTTTGAGATCCTATATCAACCCGGAAAGGAGAACGTTGTTGCTGATGCACTTTCTAGGAACTTAGACTTATTTTCCTTGTCTTGTGTTGATGTTACAGCTTATGACCAAGTTGAAAGTGAGTTGCACAGGGACTCAAGAATGGGGATTATTATTCAGGATTTACTTCTTGACCCCCAAGCTCATCAAGGATTCTGTTTGCAAGGAGGGCGGCTGTTTTATAAAGGGAAAATGGTGCTGGCTAAACAATCTGCACTGGTTCCTAAAATTCTGTTGGAGTTCCATGATTCTTGCATTGGAGGCCATTCTGGGTTCTTACGGACTTATAAAAGGGTTGCTGGTGTAGTCTATTGGGAAGGCATGAGAAAAAATATCAAGAATTATGTGGCTGCCTGTGCTGTATGTCAGCAAAGCAAGGCCCAAACTCTGTCTCCAGCGGGTTTATTGCAGCCTTTGCCTATCCCCTCTCAGCTTTGGACGGATATCTCCATGGATTTTGTAGGCGGGCTGCCTAAAGCTCATGGGCTGGACACAATCTTTGTGGTGGTAGATAGGCTGTCCAAATATGCCCATTTTATTCCCTTGGCTCATCCATATACAGCTAAGGAGGTGGCTTTCCTGTTTATCAAAGAAATTGTTCGCTTGCATGGGTTTCCCTCTTCCATTGTAAGTGACAGAGATCGTGTTTTTATCAGCTCTTTCTGGTCAGAATTATTTCGATGCAGTGGCACGAAATTAAAATATAGCACGGCTTATCACCCTCAATCTAATGGTCAAACAGAGGTGGTTAACCGTTGTTTGGAAAATTATTTGCGATGTTTTTGCAGCCCAAAACCAAAAACTTGGCCAACTTGGCTCCCTTGGGCCGAGTTTTGGTATAACACATCCTATAAAAGCTCTACGGGTACAACTCCATTCAAAGTTCTGTATGGATGTGAACCCCCCACCTTGTTTAGATCCAGTTTCATGGCTTCCCCTGTGGATGAAGTTTCACAGCTGCTGCAGGACCGAGACTCTATTTTGATTGAACTCCAACAGCAATTGTCAAATGCTCAAAATCGTATGAAGGTTCAGGCTGACCAACATCGACGTGATTTGGAATTTGTTGTGGGTGACTGGGTGTATCTCAAACTGCAGCCTTATAGGCTTAAAAGCATAGCTAGAAGAGTGAACGAGAAACTCAGCCCGCGTTTTTATGGGCCTTACCAGATTGTTGAGCGCATTGGTGCCACTGCCTATAAATTAGCTCTTCCGGATGACTGTCGAGTTCATAATGTGTTTCATGTATCCTTATTGAAGAAAGCTATCTCCCCCTCTACTACTGTGCAACCTTTGCCTTCCATACTAACAGATGATTGGGAACTGAGAGTTGAGCCTGAATCTGTCCTGCAATGGAAAAAAACTGCACTTGGTCGAACGGAGGTCTTGATCAAGTGGCTACACTTGCCTGATTTTGAGAATTCATGGGAGGATTTCGCCCAGCTTAATTCCCAATTTCCCAATTTCCACCTTGAGGACAAGGTGAAAGTCATGGGGGGAAGTATTGATAAGACACCTCTGAGGGTGTATAGTAGAAGACGTCACAGAGGATCAGCTCAAGGGGGGTCAGCTGAGGTGGCAGGGAATATTTTAGATGGAAGGAATTCAGTTAGAAGGGAAGGAGAGGCACATGATGTGAGGGCTGACGTGGCTGCCTTAAGCGAGTAAATGGTTATAAGGAGGGTGTGGCATGGAAGGAAAAAGGCAGGCTGGATTTGGAATGAACTTGGGAGAGAGCACACCTCTCGAAAGTGTTGCATTCGTGACTGTTCATTGCGTTATTCCTTTATGCAATTCATAGCTGTAGCTGTTCTGCATTTTCTTCTTGTTATTGTAATTGTTAGACAAACTATTTTCCTTCTTTCTTAGATGTATTCAGTTTTCATTATCAAATCCAGTAAGTTCTGGGCCAAATTCCCCTGTGTTTTCATTTCTTTTGTTGGCAATCTGATCCAGTCTTAACAGATTGACTACATTTTGATTATATAATGCCAGGGATTTGCTGCATAAATATGCTAATGAAGATGTATCGTTGGGATCTTGGTTTATTGGTTTAGATGTGGATCATGTTGATGATAGGAGAATGTGTTGTGGTACACCCCCTGGTATGTTGTTTTGATTTTCATCATAATCTAATAAAAGAAAAAAATCATGTGACACCATTATCATTGATCCAATACTTTTTCAGAAGCATTTTATATAAATCTGAACAACTAATGAAAAACTTTGCATCTGAATGTGCTTGTTCTGTTTGAGATGTCATGTTATGATTCATTGAATGGTACTTTTATTTTCCCATTTTTAAGACCTGGATTGCCATGGTTCCAGTCATGCCTGATATATGATCATTTTCCAGGGTTTTTCTTGAAGAGAAAAACACTGACAGGAGGAAGACATCATGACATATATGTTAAAAGTTTTAGTTAATTATTAACTGAGTTTGAAGATTTATTTAATAGCAGAAGTGCTACCCTCATGCAGATTGCGAGTGGAAGGCTCAGGCAGGCAATATCTGTGTTGCTTCGTTCGATTGGAAATGCAGTGGGATTTGCAGGTCTGTTGAGAGGATAAAAGAAGTTCATCAGCGTTGTGGGGAGGATGAAAATGCATTGTGGAGTGCAACCTTTTGATAGAGTCTACTACTCATCTTCTAAAGTGAACAAGTACAATATTCAGAAACCTGAAAGGTGCATGCTATATACGTAGTATGAGACTAGAAGATGGTTCAAAATGAGATAGGCCTTGCTGCTTAGGAGCCATTCGTTATCTCAACTGAGGAGATAAACCCTCTGCAGCCTAAGACTCTAAGAGAATGAAGAAGATTGTAGCAACCAAACCAACCCATTCTTTTGTTAAGTGGGTGGAGGGCTTTATATTCTAGTTCTCTACCATGTCTAGCGCTTCATAATAATCAGTTCTCACTGTGTCCAACTTTTGGTCTTTTCTTTCAAATTTTATATAATCTAATTTGTTTCCCATGATTGTTACTTTTGATTTTATTTTATTTTTTGTTTACCTCACTATACCTTGTCAGGTTTTGCTGTTTTCTGTTAAAATGCGAAAATGAGAACAAATTATCTTGTATTCAGTTACTTGATGGAAAATATTAGTGGGAAACAAAGTATACGAAGGCGAAATTTTTTTGGGCAGGCATGTGTTACGCAGCCCCATGTTTGTTTAGTACTCATTTTATTCCTCATTTTTATTTGTATAATTTGTGCTTGATTCTAGGAGTGTTAACGTTGAAAGACTAAATTTGTGTTAAAATATGTCAGACTAACATAGTTTTTATAAAAAATAAAAGTCTGGACTAATTTGTTAAAAAAAACAAAAACAAAAATTTATTCAAATAAAATATATGATCAGCAGTATTGATAATTTCACAACGATTTATAAATTTAATGTATATTCAAACAATATAATATAGAACAAAATCATTCAAAAAGTCTATTTTTTTTTTTTGATAACATTGAGAAGTTGGCTTTCGGTTCTTGAAAAACCACTTTCTCAACGTTAATTAAAAATAAAATTGAGAAGTAACTTCTCAATTATTTAAAAATAAAAAGATATGTTCAATATTCCATTCCTCGCAAACTAAATTATTAACATTTTTTTTTATGAAGAAAAAAGTATAACATTGATAAGTCAGTTTTTGAAAAACCAACTTCTCAATGCTTTGAAAAAATTTAAAATAAAAGTTGACATCAAGAAGTCAACTTAATATGAACTGATTTATCAATTAAAAAAAGGGATTACTAGATATATGAGAAATAAAAAAGAAAAGTGCATTATTTACCATGAGTTCGTGATAATTTGCTTCCAAAAGTTGTTTTTTTTTTCCCTCAAAGAAAACTCAAGAATGAAAATGGGCAGGATCAGTCTCTTTCAAGTAACACAACAAACAGTGAGTCAAATTTCTTTTTTTAAAAATAAAAATAGCACAGTCACAATGTCCAATTCCTATTTATTGGCCCCATAAACAGAAGACACCTCACTTCAAAACACGAGCCTTTCTCTAGAGCCAATGGGCAAATCTAACGGCTCATGATGCTTCCCTCATCTAACTTATGATTAACACTTCCAAGAAAATTTGATTTGTATAGTATCCTTAAATAGCAATCATCAATTCTGTTAGTATGGCAGAGTTTTGGATTTTTCATCTGAATTGGTGTATCATAGAATTCCCTAGAAATTTGGGACCAGAAAGAAAGTTGAAAATATTGTCTTTTCTTCCATTGTCAACAAATCTTATAACTAGGATAACATAAGCGAAGTGATAAGATGAATGAAAGCATTTATTTGTAAAAGGGAAATAATAATCTCATGTATTAGGAGATGTTTTATCTCATACGCTAGAGATATTCTTGTGGGGTTCACTGCTTTTTTTTTAAAAAATAAATAAATAAAAAGAAAATGTCGACACAAATGTTGAAGTATCTGCAGGAAGGGAGAAAAATTTCCTGCCCTTTGTAATATACATGCTTCTTTGATCAGATATATCCTATGTTAATGAAGCATGTTACAATAACAGTTCTAAAACCAATGCAATATTGTAGCTGGGAGAATGAGAATTTACCTTTTCCAGTAATCCATGCTAACAACCTATCTTTCCCAACAACAATTTGAAAAGCGATTTAGTGGCCAGTGGAATGATATGCAAATAACTATAGTATCTGCCTTCAATTTGTAACATCAAGAAGATTATTAGAATTATTATTTTGGTAAGTACAGCTAAGGAATTACTGTAGTTAGAGGTAACATAAAACAATTAATCAGAATTTGAGCCAACTTTTTTTTTTTTTTTTGGATAAAAAATGTTGTTTTGGAGAATCAAATCAGAGATATATTTTTTTTGAAAATATTTCAATAGGTTCATCGCTTCGCGACTAGTTTGATTCGGGACATTTATTTTTCTACAAAGTTGTTTAAATTTAAAAGCAAGGGAAAGATGGGATGTAGTCAAAAAAAGAGATGAACCTTTAAAAAGAAGCAAAGTAAACGTAAAGAAAGATTTATCATGTCAGTTGATACTTCCTCTAATGAAATCCCTACCACCCTGGAAAAAGGAAAAAGGTAAAACAAATTTCCTACCAACCATACCAATTCATTTCTATCCCACACCAAGAATTTGATCACTGTTCTTTGGGGACACAAAAAAGGGCTAATAAGGTAGCCACCGCAAAGTAGCTAGCTGCATTAAGATCAAATCTGCACAAGAGATCGAAGAATCAGTCAATGCTACTCAAACTCTTTGTTACATTCAATTACAGTTTCCATTATTGTTGCTCATGAACTCAACACACATGACAACATGTACAAATTAAACACACTGAAACAACCTTGAAGGTGCTGCTGATTGCTAAAGAAGAGAAATTGTGATTGCCCGAGATCAATTACATGTGATATTGGCACGGCTCAATCAAATAACACAGAGCTTTTGGATTATAAAGCACTGTCTTCTGATTGAACCGTACCAATATCTCAGGCTCTTAATTATACGTTTGAAGTCTGATCCACCACCACGTTATATAGAGCCATCATGTTCCTGTACTATTTGAAGAAACAATCATTGGTTAATGTATGTGACAAGAAAAGCTTACCCCTATGGTAACTCCAATTCATCCTCAGAAAATATGATACTTGGAAAGAAGAACCAGGAAGAGTTTTATGTGACTGAATTATATGCCTAAGAAGAAACAAGAGTGGTGAAGAAGGCGACATGTTTTCTTGGAGTAACTATTGTGTACTGTGAGATTCTTAGAATTTAATGGATGAGAGAGAGAGGAGAACAGAGATAGAGAGAGGTAGAGCCCTAAATATGCTGGTATTTAATTTGCCAACGACCCAACAAAGAATAGGAGGTGGGCACATTAAATTTTGAGATTGGAAACAATTAGAGAATGGCATATTTTTGAATTATCACAAGCAGAGAAGGTCAGTGAGACATGAAATTGAGTTTAGCTTTCAGGTTTTATATTTATGAGCTCAGAGGGTAAGTTGGTCTACTTGCAACCACATTTGAAATTCAAATAGGAAATAGCTTTTGGAAAGTGAATGGTTGGTATGAAATTGTGTATATAATATGATTTGATTGAGTCTGGTGTGGCTCATGTCATGGATTTTTCTATTGACCATCTCAACATGTCTATGTGCAAAAGTTTGGAATCATCAATATCAAACTGGTCTCCACTTTTTTCCACATTCAAAGGCAGATATACCTGTAAGTGGAGGTAGTTAAAAATGAAACAGTTCTTCCGTATCAATCCATAAAAGGAAGCTCACAAACTAGGAAAGTATACTCATGATTCATCTATAGGAAAGAATTTCCTTCCTCTTTTTTTTTTTTGAACAATAGAAGACTTACTTGTCCGTTTAAATGAGTAACATGCAATGTACTTTTACAAGAAGCTTTCACTCAGATTTTCATCAACCATTAACACTGGAGCAGAAGTAAACTGCTCTTGAAGTGCAAGATCCAGTCAGGTGTCAGATATTTTTCTTTTCCTGTCTAACAATGTATGAGTGTAGGGTTAATGATTTCTACAATTAATTAAAGGGTTCGCTTTTTTCACCGAGATAATTTATCTACGTTGAGCTCAAAACGATGTCGTTTTAAGGCAGAAATCAAGGTATTTTTGTAATTATAATTTATTCTAGGATTATAATAATCTTTTTCATTATAATTTTATTTTTCAACCCAAAACGACGTCGTTTTGGGAACAAATATAGATAACTTATCTATATTCACTGCAGAAACATTAAAGCCTTAATTAAAAGAAGCTTTTCGGTTGAGACCACTTATAACTATATATTCTTGAAAATATATAGTTATAATATTTAAAAAAAAAATTCTTCCTTCACGTTAGCAAACAAATTCTGCAATGTATTTGAAGAAAGAGAAAAAAAAACTTTAATATTATAATTATATACTTTTTGAAATTCATAATTATAAGTGGTGACTAGTGACTATAGAGAAGCTTATATAAAGTAACTATAGAAATCATTAATTCATGATTGTATTATATTATTTTCATTTTATTCGCTTAATTCTTTTATAGCAACTATCATTACGTAAATAGTTAAGGTTCTAAAATTTATCTTTTATCAAATAATGATAGTTTAGTTAGCGTAAGGGAATTGAGCCGGTTAAATGAGAATATGTGTTCGATCCTTCCCATATCGTCTTTAGGAGGAATTTAAAGTCTTAATTTCGAGACTTGTTCCGAATCGGGCTAGTCACGAAGCCATGAACCGATTAGAATATATCTAAAAAATTTTTTTCCTCTTTTAGCTCACTTAAGTTTGGAGTTTTGATAATTTAAGTGTGAGTGAGCTAGGAAGTCCCCTATTAATTAAGAATGCATTTAAGAAAATTCATAAACATAACGTTTTATGATTTTGGGTTGAAATATGACTTAGATGAATACTAAAAAGCCTTCTTTCTATGTATATATCGCATACAACTGCAATCTAAAAATCTTGAACCTTCAAAATACTTGCCTCAAATTCAATAACGTACAATAAATAATTATTTTACATGTGCTAGCGCACACAGTGTAAATCAGTTCCCATGTATGCCTGGGACCATTGCTTGTAGTTTTTCCGTGAACAATGCCCATAAATAAGGGGAAGATTAGTATGCACATGTTTTCGAATGGAAAAGTTTTACTTCACCAACACGTTGGTGGCACCCAGCAGGCTTAGTTCATGCTAACGTATTATTATTTCATTTGATAGATGAAAGTCTTTTTTTACGATTATTGTTAGAATTATTTTATAATTAATTATGATAGGAATTTTTTTAAAAAAAAATATGAGTTACTAATAAAACGTAACAAAAAATTTTTTTAATAAATTGTTCAACACATTCTTACTATTTTTTTATTATTATTATTTTTTTGTTAAGTATAAGATGC